CGTTTTTCTCACTATTCGCACAATTTTGATTGAACTGCACTAACATTGAACCTTTCACTGAAATCGTTTCGGTACAAAATTCGCGAGATAAGTCAAACCGGCATAGTAAGAAGTGAGAAAGTTGGGACCCGCAAACACTACGTGCGTCCCCGATCACTGCCAGAACTCAACTCTGGCATACTGCCAGAACTCAACAATCAATACATAATCTCTAAAGAATTAGGTTATCTTGATCTTACTGCAATATCAATGATTCATCATCATTTCTGCACAACGAGAAATAACAATAGAAGTTCTCGTCAACTCACCTGGGCGTCAAATGGAAACATGAGAAGATCAAAATCACAGGAATAATGGACGTTGTACCGCTGGCTCATCGCAACAACACCTTCACTGATTATGTTCGCTGTTGAATAGAGACACTTGAAGCTCAAATATGTATTGTATACAATAAGATTGAAATAGTGTCTGTCGAAATAACCAACTGATCTTGGTGATTTCCGTAGTTCGGGCAGATGAGCATTCCCTTCTAAATTTCCGTAGTTCGACGATATTTTACAACACACTTCGATAACAAACAGTTGAATAAGTACGCAATCAAAGCAAATATTCTTGTAAAATTCAAGAGAAGATGCTTGTAAAATTTAAAAGCTTCATTAAAAAACTACTCATGATGTTTCATTCATAGATACTGTATTTGACTATCACGGCACCATAACTGTTCTTATTATATATGATATATGTATCATTTTTTATATTTAACTGATTGAATATTTTTACATTTTCTATGCAAATATAGTACGTACCTTCGTCCGAGTTGTCTGATCCTCCTTGGACAGCTGTTCCTCCAGCAATTAATTCAACTCGAGATCCTTGCTCCAGATTGGAAAATAGATTTCCATCATCGTTGTAAAAGAAAATTTCCGGGAACCAAATTTTCTGTACCTCCTCGGGCGTCAGCATGTTGAGGGAACGTTCGTTTTTCAGGTCAAGAAATTTGAGGCGCGAATCTTGCCACATTAACAGCAGCACGAAGTTTGTTTCGAAGGAGAGAACTTCAGTCTTGATTCCAGGGAATGAAGAAATGAACACAGATATATTTACTGGCAGCGGTTCGCTCTGAACAAGAGGTGGTGGTGGGATTGTGTTGCTGTAACCGACTGGGATGCTCAGAAGAGTGCATTTCGTCTCGTCGCTGTTGTCGGGGCAATCCATTCTGAGGTCGCACTTCTTGCGCAAGGCTATGCAGGAACCATCATCACACGTGTACTGGCCAAAAATACAGGCCGATAAGGTCAATTGAACCTTTTCACCTCGACTGTATCCGCAAATTTGTGATTTCACCTCCCACGTTTTCTTCCCCAAAGGATAATCAGAGGGCGAATCAGGAATGTGCAGAGCCGAGGACCCCGGCGTCTGTAAAATTTTTATAAATACATTTTTTCATTGGAGACTTTCCTACTTCAATTCAAGGAATGGAATGCATTAACAAATGCATCAAATTCCAAAAATATACTAAAAAAATCGCATTGCATAAACAAACGACTCCATGCATGCATCAATTGTGTCTCACTTTTTTCGAAGCCAGCTTCCACGCTTGGGTTTCGTTGTCCCAAAAGATGTCAGAGTGCCGGTAGCCAGTGAGTGAAGGCCGGTTATTGACGCTTCCACGTAAGATGTATCTAGTGTTGAAAGGCGAATTTTTGCACAAGAGAGGCCCTTTTAGGAACATTGTTGGGTAGTTCTTAAATTCACAGAACATGCATTTTTTATGTGAATCAAAGCAATCGAAATCGGACCAGAGTCCGTTGATGCCAGGACCATACATCATCGCCAAGCAATTTTCGACAGTGCCTCCGTTGGGGCCACCTCCACGCCACCGGCCTTGGTACGTGATTGTTTCATTTGACTCGAAATGCTCCCAGCGGCCTTCTACATTACCGTCCTGAGCCCCAAGCCACAAGTAAGATGATCCGAGGTAACTAGAGCAGTGTTCAGCCCAGCCGACCGTCTCGGTGAACATCCGAGTGTTTTCTGCGTCGTTGATAGGGATGCCAATCTCCCCACCAAATTTCTAAGCAAATAAAATTGCATGTTTCATTTTAACAAAATTTGGCGAATTGCGTATAAAAATACGCATTTTGAGTTTATTTACTAGCGTTGTGCATGATTTGATTTGATTGATTCTATAAACGGAATCAATTGGAAACGGAATCTAAACGGAATATATATCTAATCTAAATCTAAATGGAGCAATAAGTTGGATTGGGAGTGCATTTTTTTTCAATAGTTGGTTCCAGTCAGACTTACCGAAAATGAGTTTGTGAATGAATATAGATTTCGAAATTCTAGCAGAGTATCAGAATCTAGGATTCGCATAATAAGCTGCTCATATTCTAATGTACAGGATTCAATAGGGAAGTGTGGATGATTTGAGCTGCACAACACGTGATGTATAAACGATCTTAATTGGGGGGGCGGGGGAAGAGTAGAGGGTCTGTTCGTGACGAAACGTTATTTCAGTAGAGAGAGTGGTCGATAGAATCACGTGTTGACCTACAACCAGTTAATAGAAACAGGCCGTTCTGTCATTAAAAAACAGAAACTTTTCCGTAATCATTTCAACGTTGGTCTTTATTGTCGAATTCCGGAGTTTGATTCGATAGAGAAGTGGACGAATAATTAGTGAAGGTTCTGTGAGACCTGGGACTGTGAGGATGGGACGGACCAAGGAAAACGGACCCAGGAAAACTAGGGACCTAGGAAAACTTTGAACATGAGCGTCCAGCCACTGAAGCCATGCCGGCCTAGCCGTACGACATGCTGGTGCAATTATTGTTTGACAGAAGAGTTCGCAGTTTCCCGACGTTCGTACTGTGCAATCACCTCCTCGTGCCGTCCTAGGTGTCAAAGAACCAGTTCATTCAAAATTATTCGCACACTTCTCTATCGATGCATGACCGTCCCTTTCAATTAACTTGTTGAAGACAAACACACGCGATGCTCTATTGACTACGCCTCTGAGCAGCCTCTCTTGCTACTCAAATGACTTCTCTTTATCTTGAGATTTACTCTTTACCACCCCCCCAAACCACACCTTCGCCCAAATGATCTATCCATACTTCCTCTCCGGATCACGCATTTTCGTTGGCTCATTATTCTTCATATATTAATTTTACCTGTAAAAGTCCATAATTGCGCATCAAACTTCTAAATATACTACTAAAATGCAATAAAATACGGATGAGCATTGGAACAAACAGTCAAAAATGAGTGAACGTTTCCCTTATTATCTCAAAATATTTATAGCATCGAAAATTCAAATTTATACGAAAAATTTAAAAGTCATCAAAAAATTGATGTCCAAATGGATTAACATATGCTGACACTAATTTATTTAATCACCTTACACATAGCCCGAGCCTCATTTAATTGAAACCGATTTGGGAAGAAGATGAAGTCTCGCCTAGACGTTGAGCAGAGAGTAGTCAAGTTTCGTACAAGCCACTCGACCTCACCACTGCTATTCCAGCGCAGTGTTGACCACGCCAAGGCATCACCTTCATCTTTATCACGGCATTCGGCGATCTGTCGGGTTATAAGGGAAAAAATTCGTGAATTCCTCTATATACTCGTGAACTGCAGTTTTAGTAATATTATCCTTGTGCTTTCCATCATCTATACATCAGACCACAAAATATTATTATTAAACTCAATCCCATATGAGCGTTCTCTAACAACTTAATTTAATTAATTTGTTGCCTAATTTAAATTTCCATTGACATTAATTCAGTTACTTCTTAAATTTTAATGCATGGGATACTACATTTTTGATAGTCGATGCGTCTAAAACTCGGTGCCAAAAGTTGAGCTGTGTGATCTCCCCGCTGTAGCTCCTGTCTCCTTCGAAACCACCTCCGAAATTATCTTGTTGTTGGCCTGGTCAGAATCAACTTATAAGTGGAAGAATTGAAATAAGTATGCTGTTCTGCTAACACAATCGCTGGTCAATTAAGATCACTTGATATTTTCACGAAAATAGCGAATCAATGTGAAAACAAATTTTGAATTCGACAGCCACCGATTCATCTTCGATTTTTTCATGTCTTAGGCCTACATTAAAATAAAATCGAGCCTGGAATGAAGTAAGAAATATACACGAGGACTGCCACTTACTTAAATATCCATAGAAAATAACTTTGAACTTGATAGTTAAATGAAGGTTAACGACAAATATAAAATACATTTTAGTTTTCCTTATTGAGTAGAGTAAACAAGCTAAAATATTCGTTAAGTTTTAACTACTACAGGAAAAGTGTCCTTCTGTGAATAATATTCACATTAAGAGTAACATCTTCAACCCGTCTTACCAATGACAAAGGCTCCATTTCCAAAAATCACTTTGGAAAAGTTATATAGTTTATCTCCGGCTTCCTTTACTCCATTCATGTAGAAAGTCCAGGACTTGTCAGAGTCGTCGAAAGTGAAGCAAAAGTGACTCCAGTACCACAGTGGAGTGATCACATTGGACGTTGCACAAATGCTACTCAGGCACACCTGGTAGCCATACAGCCTGTGATCTGCCCCCATATTGATATGTAACGTAAATACCGTCGTCATGGCACAACTGAAATGGTGGTCATAAAGAGAGCTGGTGCATGCTCATGTCAAACCGTTCATCTTTGTTCACAATTATGTTAAAAATTCATCACCATAATTAAAACTACTATAAAACTCGCAATATCAAATAAAAAGTATTATTTATTTATATAGTCTTCAGACAATTGCTTCAGCTTCTTCGATTTTGAAATGTGGAAGTAATCCAAATAAGTATCTCCTGCAGGAATATCGAAAAAATGGCAAAACAAAACTATTTCTGGATTTACAGCCTGAGTAAATTTACGAAAACTTCAAAGACATACCAATCTTGAGAGCGCTGCTATCAGTATCAAGCAAGGCATATGACAGGAGCGGTCCTCCATATATATTTATATCGTCCTCCTCCCGGTAGCGGTGCATGCGGATGCGGTAGCACACAGTAAACTTCCTCAGCTCGGGAAACGGGTTCAGGAGACGCGCGAAACTTGTGGGCGCCGGTGTGCCGGAGCCCTGCAGCAGCATCACAGCCGCAGCACCATCGCCTGCAGCGTCAAAAAGGCGATATAAGTTCAGGACATATAAGTTATTTTACACGTATATGTATTAATATGGTATTTGGTTGTCTGAATACTCAACTAGATATTGATATGGCAGCGCAGTGATAAAAGTGGTCGCGATGAGTCTTATCTAAATGCTTCATGCACTGTTTCTACTCGTATTATAAAAAATTCTTAGACAAATGCAAAATATGGCTTAAACGGAGCCCCCTATTGGCAACGTCAAATTAATATAGATTCCTAAAAATGTTACTATCAGTATCGCAATTGTTATTAATCGTAATATGAATATTGCTGCTAGTACTGCAATCTTTTTTACCACGTTTTTCTTAGCTCGCTTTCGTGTCTGTCTGTCTGTGATGATCAAATCTTGCAATCGATATTTCATCAACTTTCCCACTAGCTAGCGTTCTGAAACTTTTAGGGAAGCTCAGCTCCCGATAACAATACATGTCATCCCCACCTCCCACGTCGACAACAATAAAGGTGGGGAATGCGTATAACTTCTTCCCATTCTTCCCTTCACTAATTTATTCATTGACTGTACTCAGGTGACCTATTTATTCATTGAATTGATGAATTGCTTGTATAACTTGAATAACTTGAATAATTTGAATAAGTTGAATAATTTGAATAAGTTGTGCAACTTGAATGAGTTGAATAACTTGGATATCTTGAATAACTTGAATAAGTTGAATAACTTGGATAATTTGAATAAATTGAAGAGCGCGTCTTAGCAAGTAATATACGTAAGCTTTCCATAAGGTATATGCAGTCTGGTGTCAGAGCGTTATCACCATGATGTCATTAGTCTCTCTTAAGTCACCTTCAGTGATGTCGCTATTCGCGGGTCTCCGCGTATAAAAGCATTATATAATCATTATAATATAAGCATTATATATCTGCGTATATAAGCATTACATCGCTAGAATATCAAGCCAACCGCCAGTCAGTGCATGGACAGCCTTCAGCTGCAGTCACGCAGCTAACTCTAGACGCGCTAACATTGTCTTTTAGTTAGACTCCGGCACTCATACCAACACGCAGTGTCGTAATACTGTATCCTGTAACTTCTACCTAGTGTATCTTGTAAATCTAACTGTAATATCTACTCTTAGATACACGACTCCCCTGGCCAATGAATCTATAGTAATATGTTATTCGGACATTCATAAACGATCCAAAACCCCAAAACCCCTCAGGTTTTTCTACCTTTGATTTAAAGATCATCGACTGATCAATGTCCATGTTAAAGATCAGTTCGCCAACGGTAAAACTGGCGAACTGACACTGGAGCATTCTTTTCTCTACTCATAACTAATTTTAAAGTAAGTGGTAAGATAGGGACATAAAATATGTTTCGTAATGCATTTAGGAATTTATAAGATTAAGTTACGAAGCCCGTGTAGACGACGTTGCAAGACAATCTTTCGTTATAATTTAATGCTGCATACGAAAATATAAATATTACGCATATAATGTTAAGTTATAACAGAATATTGTCTTGCAACGTCATCTGCACAGGCTTCGAATTCTGTTGGAAAAAGTGAAAACTGTAAATTTACATTGTTACAATTATTGGATAACCGTAGTAAACAATGTCTGAATATTTCAATGAAAACGATTATATTAGGATATTTAACATTCAAATTAAATAACATTAGTAAGAAAATAACGCGCTCTCTGGTGTTTTGAAGAAGTGTTGGGTAATTTATACAATATTTTAATGATAACGGAGAGGTGTAACTACGCCAGTCTGACTACCTGCAGGTCAGCACCAGTAACCTGCAGAAGGCAGCATGTGTCCCTCACTAACCTGCTAACCTGCAGGCGTGCAGGTCAGCACCAGTAACCTGCAGAAGGCAGCATGTGTCCCCCACTAACCTGCTAACCTGCAGGCGTGCAGGTCAGCACCAGTAACCTGCAGAAGGCCGCATGTGTCCCCCACTAACCTGCTAACCCTGTCTCTTATACACATCTAGATGTGTATAAGAGACAGCTCCCCCCACCTTCTGCGCCTCCCTTTGATGCATGTGAATGACTCACCCCCACCCAGGCTTATATACTCCCCCTGACAGAAGTATATTGCCCTCCCCGCCCCCCCCCAAATTTGCGGTCATGGCGGTCCCAGCACAACTCGAATATCGAATGTCACTCCTCAGGTGATAGGTTTAGGCTCACCGTCACTTCTGTCACCATCTTCTGTCACTGAATGACTTAACCACTGTCATTTGGCCTAGTGGTTAAAGTGGTTAAAGGGTGGCCCGGTGGTGACAGTTCAGAGTACAATGATTGGCGCAGAGAGGCGCGGGTTCGATCCCAGCTCTGTGCCCCAGTTTCTGGTCAGAATCGGCAAGGAGGCCGGGCGGTTAACAATTCCAGAATGGGAGCAGTGAGTTGCGCTTTCGAGACCGCAACAAGCTGTGAATGATCTGTGATGTTAAGAATCGGCGACAGGCTTACGGCCTACTAAACGCTGACGCCGCTATTATTATTATTATTTATTATATAATCTGTCACTAATGTCGTGACCCTGACAGTCCCGTCTGCGCCGTCTGACGTGCGGGGAGTGGTGACGGGGGACCATAGAGGCGTCGTCACATGGGCGTCCCCCAGCCCTGCTCGAGGAGCACTGCTCCACTTCACCCTCTACACTCACCCGTTGGGGCACGTGAGTCCTACGTTGTTGTTCCTGTCCTTGTTTGTGGTGCCGTATGCAGAGGGAAATGAGTAAAATTTTGTCTAAGTAGTGATGCACATTTTGCTTTTGGATAGGCATATCCGTGCCTGTATTTGTAAATAAAATGTATAAAAAAAAATTTAAAGACCACGTTTTTCATGTGGACTAAAAAGTAGAAAATAATTTTTCGGCAGCTACCGATCTCCGTTTGCTTTCATTCTCTTGGTCTTTTGTATTTCAGTTAAAATATTTTACAACATCTAAAACGTGGGGCGCATATGTATTTAATTGTTTGGTGATTACTTGATATGATGAATATGATGGTTCATTGAGCATTTGATAAGTGCATTGCTGATATATCTGATTTGAGCAAATTTTGTTATTTACTGTTGGAAAATTGATTTATCATGTTTCATCCAATATAGGTAGTTTGAAATGTGTATAAGTAATTCAAGCAAGTAAAGATATGAATCATGAATAACGCAGGTCAGGGTATGTGAAAATTTTAAAAGAATCAAATTTTGAGAATTTTAAATGAACGCGTGGACTATATCCTGTCTCTTATACACATCTAGATGTGTATAAGAGACAGNGACCATAGAGGCGTCGTCACATGGGCGTCCCCCAGCCCTGCTCGAGGAGCACTGCTCCACTTCACCCTCTACACTCACCCGTTGGGGCACGTGAGTCCTACGTTGTTGTTCCTGTCCTTGTTTGTGGTGCCGTACGCAAGGGGAAATAAGTAAAATTTTGTCTAAGTAGTGATGCACATTTTGCATTTGTATAGGCCTATCCGTGCCTGTATTTGTAAAATAGCCTATCCGTGCTGCGCACAGAAAGGGTGTTAGGCGGTTGGCGAGTCCCTTGCGCTGTAAAATTTTAGATTAGCCAATTAATATTTTTAGATCATGCAAACAGAGAGTCGCCTTAGTGGCTTTAATATTTTATAGAGTGGGAAAGAAGAATGACTCTTATGAATCTACGAATTTCAAGGGTTGTATCAAGATAAGTTTGTGTCAAGTCAAGTTACGCGTCACAAGATAGTGTTAATTGGTCTGGCCTCGAGAGCCACGAGTTAGTTGCGGGTTAGAGTTAGCTTATTAGATATTAGAGTTTACTTATTATCTATTATAACTTATATAATAAGCACTAATATATAATAGGTTGTTAATTAAATTATAACTTATTAGATAATAAACTTGACATAACTGAAGAGTATCAACGTTTCCAGACGGTTCAGCGCGAGCACGTTCCTGCCGCGGGAATGGACTCCCTGTGGCGAGAATTGACCGACCTTCTAACAGACGTTCCCGTGCAGGTGATAAACCTTCATACCTCACTGATGTTAATACTCAAGCAAGACGTACACATTCCTTAATAATTAGTGGTTAGTAAGGTAGGGCTCTCGCTAATGAAGCGGTGATATTGAATTTAATTTAGTAATTTAATCCACGCCTGTGTTGCAGTGTGTGGGGATGTCCATGTATGGAGGAGAGAATTTATACATGTATTTATGAGACCGAGTATGTGTGGGAGCATCTGTGTGGAGGAGAGCATTCGTGAGGTGCCTTCTGTATGAAAGTGTGGTAGGGTGCATCTGGGTGGTGGGATGTATTTGTGGAGCCTTTGTGTGGTATTGCGTGTGTGTGGGTGACATGGTGTGGTATGGTCTGTGGGTGAAGTCATTAATTTACCTCAATCGTCATCCAGGTGTGGGTGACCGCCAGCACCTCAGCTGGGGAAGGTCCCCCATCATCCAGAATCACATTGACACCCAAACATTCACCCAATTACCCTCCCCTCATCCTGGGTGGTAGAAGTGAGTGGTGGGTGACCAAGGGTGGAGGCCTCACCCTCGGGTGCAGACGAGCGGGTCACCCAGAGCCCACGATCGAGTGGGACCGTAACGGGGGAGCTCTGGGGGAGGGGGAGCAGCTGCTTCCGGGGGGAGATGTGCATCTTAGAGGTGGGTGAAGTGCCTCCATATGTATAAAGATTTACCTGAAAAATGTGGCCTAGGCAATATTCCGTTAAATTATCTGTTTTGATCTGAACTCTTGGTTTGTTTCCGGAGCAATTTCCAGTTCGGATGCGAAATAAATAATTCGTATCAAAAAATGTACAAAATACAAAAAACAATCAGGAATGAGTAAAGCTGTTTTTCATCTTTTGATAATTACCAATCGAAATTTTGATTTCTTCAGTGCAAAATTTACCACGCACGTGATTAAATTAAAACAACGTTTGGTGAGCAATATCTGAACAGCGTTTGTTACATATATATATATCCTATTTATATAGTAAAATGTGCATTAATTTCGATGTTGCAGAAGTGAAGGAGAGTGGGAATTACACGTGTACGGCCGTGAACAACATGGGTGTGGACAGGGTGACTCATGTGGTGCATGTTACCACACCCCCACCCCCTCCAGTTCTCACCCTCACCCATGCTACACATTCATCACTCAACGTTACCATCACCACCACGGGGGACGGGGGAGCCCCCATACTTGGTGAGTTTACAAACATCTTTAAATTGGGTGAGTTAATTAGTTTTTCTCTGATCCATCCTAGAAATTGAGGGCGAATTATGTGCGGCCAACGCTAAAACGACTCTTTTTGGAATTGAATGCAGATTTATTGCGAAATTTATTAGAAAATATTTTGAGGACACTCGATATTTAAATAGGGTTAATAGGTTTACAATATGAAGCACTTACTTTCTCCAAATCTTGTTAGATAACTGAGATAACAATGTCCGCCCAACTGATAACATTGCGCAGGCTACACGGTGCACTACCGCCTGCCGTCTGGGTCGTGGCAGCAGCAGGCGACGCCTGATAACTGAGATAACAATGTCCGCTCAACTGATAACATNTGAGGGTTCTGTGAGGGAAAAGAGGGTTAGGACCGCCGCCATGACTGTGCTGTACCGCGTGATGCCTGGTGCCCTCGAGGCTGGTGAGTTTGTGAGGGTTCTGTGAGGGAAAAGAGGGTTAGGACCGCCGCCATGACTGTGCTGTACCGTGTGATGCCTGGTGCCCTCGAGGCTGGTGAGTTGTGAGGGTTCTGTGAGGGAAAAGAGGGTTAGGACCGCCGCCATGACTGTGCTGTACCGCGTGATGCCTGGTGCCCTCGAGGCTGGTGAGTTGTGAGGGTTCTGTGAGGAAAAAGAGGGTTAGGACCGCCGCCATGTCTGTGCTGTACCGTGTGATGCCTGGTGCCCTCGAGGCTGGTGAGTTGATGAGGGTACTGTGAGGGTAAATTAACGCGCATTCGAGCAAGTAAGTCTTGTGCGGTCAATAACCACCATCACTTAAATATTGCTTCGTATATTTTAACAACGACTTCAATGTCATTTTCATCGATAATGAAAATTTTCTCATGGGCAGCGGAAGGAGGGAGCGGCGACAGCAGCGGCCTGGTGCAGGAGATCTCCTTGACTTCCCTGACACCTTCATCCCTGCTGCTGGAGGCTCCCGTCATCGCTGGATGTATTAGTGCTCTGCTGCTGGTCACGGCCATCATCATCTGCGTCTGTGCCGCCATCACCCGACGTCGTCACTACCATCAGTCCCGCAACGTCGTAGGGAAAGAAGAAAAAAATTACGCTGCGGTTGCGGACTCTTTAATGACACGTTCTTCTGACGCGTCGACCCTGAAACGCGCCAAGTATCGGTCCGTGAACTCTTTGAACTCGCAAGATGTGCTGGGCGACGCCTACGAGATTTACCCTTACGCCACTTTTGAGTGAGTCCTACTTCTTCAACCTTGACTTATGTTTGGAATTCAAATTGCTAAATCATGTCCCATGTCCGATGTTATTTGTTGAATATAAATTAGTGCTTGGGAAAATACATTACCGTTTGCAAACTTCATTCTAGGTTTTTTATCTGATATTTTTAAATTGACAAGTTAATTATTTTTGGCTTAGTTTGGTTAAGTACCTATATTAGGTGTTATTATTATTAGGTTATATATTTAACACCTGATATATATATGGGTGTTAGTAGGTATTTAGGTGTTATTACATAAAAATTCGCACAAATTTTAATTAGAATCGTTCGCTCACAGAGGCGGCAAAAAGGAAGAGCCTCAGCACTACGCGCTAAGTCTACGGAGCCACACGCCTGACTCGAGGGGCTGCCTAGACGCCGTGAGGTCTTAACTTTCAGAAGCAATTTACCCTGGGGACTCGAGTCTTGAAAGCAACGGCTCAGATCAGCCCACCAGGAATTACAATGAAGCCGCACAGAAAAGAAAACCTGGAGATCAGCCTTCGAGAAAACATCGATCTCAGAAACAAATGAAATACGAAGCAGGGCAGAGTGACCAGCACGTGCAATACCAGACAAAACAAGTCGCATCTTATGGGTATCACCAACACCAGCAGCAACAAATACCCAGCGATCGCCAAAAAATTGGTTTCCAGCCGATCACCAAAGACGCAACTACCGTCCCAGGCGATGGAAAACCTCGATTTCCCGAATCCGAAGTAGAGACAAAGCAACATAAAAATGTTCCAGCGGCAACGCAGGAAGAAGTACAACACAAAATGTACAGTAAACAGCGGCCCCAAGAACAATTCCGGAATGTTATGTCTCCTGCAACTCCGCGTTCTACGGACAACGTGCAAGGCTCCAGGTAGTCTTGTCAGGTACAACTGCTCTCTTGACTTCTTCCGGAAGCTCAAAGTATTGTCTCGACGTCAATACGTAACGTAAAAAGTCAAATCGTAAAAAGTTTATTTTAGATGTTTTGAATTGTTGTTTGCAATATTACAACAGTATAACAATCTTATTATGCATGAATGAGTGTGACACTTTGGTATCTTGAATCATCTGCAGTAGTTGGTCAACATAATAGTGGCGTCTGCTTGCATATTCTATAATGGAGAATGCAACATGATCGTAATTCATAATGGTGAGATATCGACAAAAAAGTAATACAAAATTTCGAGCATCAAACATTAGCTGTGCAATTTCACATTTAAAAGTTAACACTCTTGAACTAAATTGCAGAAGTCTTTGAATAACACGTGGCTCGATAGCATATTTTGATTTAATCATTACGATTCGTTTTACAGTTTAATCATTACGTACATAAACGAGGAGATATGTGAGTTAAACTGTACGCACGAGCATAATTTTTATTCACCACTGACTCCTATAAAGTTCAAGAATCGGCAACAGGCCATGGGCCTATGTCTTCAACGCCGACACTTCTATTCTATTCTATTCTATTCTAAAATGAATTAAAATGATAATGTCACGTGGTTTGCTGTTCAACGGTTCAAATGGCCTTTGCCGTTTAGATATTAAGATGAATGTGCTGCCATTGCTGTGCATGTGTGTTTAATCAATTTGATAAACGCAAAATACTCTGATCTCGTATTCGTTTTCTCTATTGAAAATATTATCGCGCTTTATTTTGAAGAACTCTAACGCTTAATCTATTTCTTTACGAATTTATGGTCTTTTTAAATTTATTATGAATGTTGTGTGAGTAATCGTTACGTATTATAAACCACATAAGCGGCACTAATTTTAAGTGTTATCATTTTTCTTAAAGTACCGATAAAATAAAATAATTTCTTTTTGTGCCTTCCAGCAACTCCAATTGCGAGGAAAGCGCACCAAAAAGGCAAGAAATGCACGCACCAAAACTACCTGCACTGCAAACTCAAGAAAATCGGGCGTCGAAGGTCAAATACTTCTCGGAACATCGGGAGGGTTCGGCTTTTATGGCGATCAAAAACTTACTTCCTTCTGTGAAAAAGCTATCCCTTAACCCAAGCTTCAGATTGCTGAAGCTTGGCAAGCTCAGACTGCAAAACGAAACCTCCGGCGTCTCTCCCGCATCCGTGAAGAACTCTGCCAGTTTCAGGTTGTCGGCCGACGACAAATTGCAGTCGAGCAGCAGCAACAGCTCCATGATTTCCGCAAATCGGGTTTTCCGACCACCGTCCCTTTTTTCAGACTCTCGGGAGCTGTCGGAAGCTGAATGTGACCGATACGAAGCGACGAATTACGGGTCTGAGCAGTCGTACATTTTGCATGAAAATGAGCTGCACAATGGGATACCACCATTGTATGGTGAGTCTAAGCATTACGGTTCAGTGATAAAAGAAATAAAATATGTAGCTGTGACAACAGATAAACTTCTTGACGCCTCGGTAGAAGATGACAACTACGGCGTTGTGGCAGCAGATGGAAATGTTTCAAAGACGACTGATAAAATCTACGGAGCTGTACTGAAAGATGAAAACTCCCACAGTCTGATAACAGATAAAAACTACATTGCACTGGCCATGGATGAAAGCTACGACGGTGCTGGGTCCATAGCACAGCACCACAAGAAAGTAAGCAAGGTTCATAAAGATCTCGTGCCAGAGTTGGATAGTGGGAGCGGAAGAGTAGAAGAGTTGATGGTTTTTACAAACAAGATATACGAGCAGCGAGACGCAAATGAGGGGAGTGTTTATACGGGTTCATATCACGGAATCGACCACGCCATCGCATCCGAATCCGAGAAGAGCACCTACTCAATCAATGTTTAATTAATTATCATCATTTGCATGATGAATAGTGAGGATTTTACACCTATTTGATTGACATTTTGGTTCCGATATCTTTTCATTTATGAAATGTCTTGTCGAATTTAGCGAGAAATAGCTGATATCTATTATTCAATGTATTGAAATAAATTGTACAGTAAATAATGTTTCAACGATCTGTGCAGTGTGCATATTCCAGCCCAGCTAGCTGTCGAGTTGTACATTAATTATTAATATTTGAAAAACGGGAACAAGGACGCCGTCGACGTCGAGTAGAACGGTAAGAAAGCCGGATAGTTATAAGCAGCATACATGGTGCAATGAGTTACGGGTTCAAACCTTGTCTACTGGGGAAAATTTTGCGATATCCATAATCAGTGACAGGCCACACTTGAGATAATCTTCGATGCGACACCACTGTAGACTCTACAAATTTTTTGCTGTTAGCCCGTTGGGTAAAAAATTTATCAATAGGGGGTTTAATTAAATTAAAGCTGTTGTCGCTTAAATCATTGTTGTTGTCGCTTAAATTATTTTGTCGCTTAAATCATTCTTTTTGCACAACGACACCCTGTGACAATAATACAGTGTTATCTATTTGAAAAAATTTTAGATTAGAAACCAATTAACGCAGAACAATAATATCAAAGGCCCCATTTACAGTATAACATAAATAAGGTTGATATGGTACGATTACAATTGTTATTAAACCTCATCACCATCAATGCTCATTCTATGATCATTATAAATTAAAATTCCCAATGGCTGGCGTTTAATTCCGCATTAGCTCTTCTTTCATTTTACTTTTTAAAATTAATTTCATTATATGAGTAAAAGATTTCCATATAAATCCATGTACTCGTTGTATTTTTACCCTTTTTTATCGATGGCCAATCCATTCACAGCATTTTTATTTGTGATTAAGAGGCATGGAATATCCGTAGTGCCTGCTTTTAAACTCAATTCACCTAAATTATTTGATGTGCCAATTAATTAAATAAATCCTCAATCACACGACTGATTGATCATTGATGACCCGTGACAGACCTCCGGCCAGGGCGCCAGGCTGCTTACCGATCCGGGCGATCCCCTGACGACTTATCTAAACAGATCAGAACTTTTTCAGATCTTGTCTCGCGGTCTCTTCTTACTTCTACAGTGTTGTTTCTATTAGTAAATGCCCTAATTGGAGTCATAAAAATCTACTGGTCCATGTGATTTAAATTGGTTGTATCATTAGCAGTGAGTGAGTTTAGCACATACAATCATGGGTAAAAGTAAAAATGCAAAGAACAAACGATTACCTGGGCCCTCTTTGCCCAAGTTAAAACCTGTAAATCCATTCAATTTGCATCAAAATAGGAAAAAGTTTACAGTTTTGGGACAGAAGGTGAAAGGAAGTAAAGGATTGCCTGGAGTTTCAAGACAGAAATCATTTGATAATGTAAGTATTTTGTGTCAAAAAACTTGTATATTCAAGTAATTGTATCATATATTTAAGCATAGTGTATTAGTGGCAAACCAGAGATTTTTTAGAATCATTTCATTTTTAATTTCCTTATCTACTTAATATTTAAATCAATTTCTTATGTATGATTATGCTGGTATCCATGAAGGACCATGATACTTCACTGGTCTACAATCTACTTATAGGACTCAAAATTGACTCAAGGGACTAGGGAGAGTACAAAAAACTCTTTGACTCTGCTTTCCCAGTTGCCACTATGATAAATTTAAGTAATTGTAATTATCAGGAATTTGGAATACCTAGTTTTGAGTCACAAGATATAAATTATTTATAGAATTCACATTACTAGAAGATCTAGGCTAGTTATTTCACTAGGAATTCATTGTAAGATTTCTTTTCCATTTATTTTTATATTATGATGCTTAAATATAAAATTTACAATGTATTCAATGTGCTAACTGGCATAACTGCTACAGAGCTGGATTAGAATTCTTTACTTGTTTCTGAAATCTTGCAGATTGCAGCTCTATCTTTACAAATTTTCCAATACATTTGGAATCTCCCAGCACCAGCATATTGGTGCACTTTTGTTTAAAACTAGAAAAAAGTAATTCATCTATTAAGAATCTTGGAGTTTTGAAAAAATGTTAGCAAAGCAGTAGTTGTGGCCCTTAATGTATTTGTTTTCCATACTAGCTACGGAGCATGCGCCTAACTGAAAAATTGGGTAAAACTAAAAGCTACCCGTGGCCATGAATGACAGAAATATCTAAATCTGGCCAATTTCACCTGTTCTTCTGGCTTTGTATCAATTTCTTCTGTAAAGAAATATGTAAAACAGACTATTTTTACCTGAAATTTTTTGTTGTCAAAATTTTACAATTTGGCCATAACCCACAAGATTCCAAGTGTATTGAAAATTTATCACTTTTGAGCTGCAAAATTTCATTCATAATTAGGAAAATTCCAATTCAGCTACAGATTGCATGTGATGGCTGGAAGAGCACTGTGTTTCCAGTTTTACAGCANACATATTCTCCTATGTTCTGCAGGTGAGCTAGAATGTTGTCACATATTCTCCTATGTTCTGCAGGTGAGCTAGAATGTGGTCACATATTCTCCTATGTTCTGCAGGTGAGCTAGAATGTTGTCACATATTCTCATATGTTCTGCAGGTGAGCTAGAATGTGGTCACATATTCTCCTATGTTCTGCAGGTGAGCTAGAATGTTGTCACATATTCTCCTATGTTCAGATGTGTATAAGAGACAGGTGGTGACTTATGTGGCATTGACAGTAGTACTATAAAAGCCATCATCAAAGCATTCTTGCCATTTCTGGAGCTGCAAGATTATGGCTAGCTGAATAATCTCCTTTCTAATTATTAAGAAAGGGGCAGGATCAACTTGCACAGTTTTAAAAATATTGCAAATAGTTATGTCACTTTTGAGCTGCCAGGTGTGAAATATATCTTCTTTTGCTGTTGAGCTTTCCTGCCATTCTTGGATTTGCAAGATTCCTGCTAGACAAATTATCTCTTGTCTTGTGGTTAACAAGAGAGCATAATCAAGCCACAAGATTCCGAAGGAATTAAAATTGTCATTTTGAAGCTGCAAGAATTCAGTATTAAGTAGGAAATTTCCAAACTTATTGGAGGCTGTAGTAGTACAGTACCAGCAAGAAATTCTTGAATGATGTTGGAGCATTTGTTAGCTAGAAATGTTATAGCATCTGGAGGTCAAGAATTGAAATATTGTAATCATTGAAATTGAGAAATGTATATTTATAAAGATGTATTCTCCATGATTCTCCTTTTTATGTAACTTTTACACTAATGTGTATAGAAAAATTTTTTCATTAATGATGTATATGTGTTCATTTTGTAATCTTACGTGGAAAATGTTATTTTTCAGAGATCTAAAACACTCTTGGTGGAGTATTTGAACCGAAACAAGGCTAATACTTTGGTTGATCGACGACTTGGTGAGAATGACCGAACAGCCGATCAAGGTCTGAAGGATGACATGCGTAGAGTTGAACATCTCAAGAGGTCATCAACTAAAGTAAGACGGAATTCTCATAAATCTTATTAGCTATTGTGACTTGATTACCTGTTGCAAAATTGATTAATTCAAAGCTGGACTGTAAAATTGTTACTAAAGTTTTATTTATATTATCACTGATTTACATCCAAATTGACACCCCTTTTTTTCACTGCCAATGAACTCTGTAGAAATTTTGTGGTCATGTATAAGAAAAAAATCTTTGGTTAGTTCAAGATGGTGTCTGTAAATTTTTTTGTTGGGCAACTTTCTATTCTTCATTTCAGAACTTTGATTCAATATATAAGCCAGGTAGGATTATGAATATAAATAAATGTAAAAAATTATTTTCCACTGATGCTTTGGTAGTATGTTTTCAGCTAATTTATTTATGTCAAATTTAATTTCATGTCTAATTAAAATGGGATAGGCCTTGAAATTTATTCACTACACCAATCATTTATCTCTTATAAATAGGGATAGTGAAAAGAGGGTTATAAAATGCTGCTATGTATCAACTAGGTTTTTGCACAGAATTCAAGCATCAATATTTTTTCCCCTGCAGCACACTCTGTACAACTTGTCTGATGACACGGAAGTGCTCACGCATGGAGGTGTCCCCATCACCGAGGAAACTCTCAAGACTCGAGACTTTGATGATGAGCTGGATGAAGACGGCATGCTGGATGGTGAGTGGGCAACTGCTGCAACTTGTCTTGAGCCTTTGAGCTTTTATTATGGTATTCAACCATTTTTCAATTTGTAAATCAGTTACGTCTTATGTGAAGCAACAGTATAATTATTTCATGTGAATTATTCCGAGTAGTATATATATGGCACATTCCAAAATTGTTCTTAACTTTTTTTGAAGTTTTGCTGGCTGATGAAATATTTAATACTGAATCATCAAACTCCAAGTGAAAGGGAGACAGCCAAAACTATATTTTTATCAGGTATAATTATCATAACAAACTCCTGAACTTAGTTTCATTATTGGGTAACTTGAAAATGCTTGTTTATTTTGTATTGATAGCTCATTTGTACATGACGTGCCATAAAATTCTTTATTATCCCTGTATAGTAATGATATGTTACTCCATGTGAGAGGAATTTCTCTTTTATTACAATGTACTAAACTATTCATTTGATAATTCCCCAGCACAATTCGTGAAGAAGCAGCATTTTGGAGGAGCGTCTCTTTCTGAGGCCCACGACTTGCCCCATGAAGACAGGAAGTATAAGAGCCAGAAGGACAGAATTGATGAAATTGTCGCTGAGTCAAAGATGCGCAAACTGCAAGCCAAACAAGACCATGAGAGCCAGAGAAAGAAGGTTGAGGTCCTCGACTCCCAGTTCAAAAACTTCATGGAGATGATGCGAGGCAATCTCATCACACACAGTGACAAGAAAAAGGTAATGTGTCTTTATAAAATACAATAATTATAAAATTGCTATATTATTTCAACACTATATTTTATGGTAACCTACGTAGCGATGTTTCCTTGTCATTGTGAGGGCAATTCTCATATCTATTAAATTATTATTGTTCATCATTTTTCTTATTTAAATGGTGTACTTGTCCGTGCCAATTAAAGTTTAGAGAAATTTTCCATGAACCATTGTTTGCTTTTCAACCAGTGTAATGCCATGTTCACCATACAGTTTGTAATTTGTTTAGTTTGTAGCAATGATGTACATATTTATAATTCACAAGGATGTTACAATCATAATTCATTTATATTTACCTTGAAAGCATCTTGTAAATTGTATAAATCTGGACATTGCAGGCCCGACGGGAGGACTCCATGCGTGATTATGATCGCCTTATGCACGCCATCGCTGCTGATGGAGGCCCCAGATCAAACCCCTCAGAGCGACTCAAGACTGAAGAAGAACTTGCTAAAGAGAAGAAGCAGGAGCTGGAAGCTCTCGAGGCTGACCGCCTCAGAAGGATGAGGGGGGAATATGAAGATGATGGACCTACAGTTGTCACTCGGAGTGCTGACAGCTTAGATAAAGGGTAATGCCCACGTGTGTTTACGTCTCTGCTGGCTACTAATAATGCTTAAAAGATTTGTATCTGAATGGCTTATTTGTGCACAAATTCCTTCATTCCATGTAAATTATTCTTATATGTCGCATGCAAGTGCATTGATTACATTATTACACATCGTTTAAAACTTGTCGATAAAAATTTAATTGATAAAGCGTTCAATAGGATCAATTTTAGATACAGTTTTTACTTGGAACGATAGAGCTATCTTTCTCTGGAAGAATAATAGAACCTTATGAGGGACTGTTTTCTTGCCACTAAATCTTTCTTAAATTCTGAGGTATTTATATATTCTTCAGTCTTCACCTGTCATCTTGGATGCATTTGCAGATGTTAGGTTAAACTTATCTGTAAGGTTAGGTTGAACTCATTTGTAAGCTTGAATTTTGTGTTAATTTAAAAAGTATGTCCGAATTATTAGTACATTAATTATTATCAGTACCTATACATTTTGTCTCTGGCAGAACCATGAAGCAGTTTGATGAACGCCCTTTGATGGCTTACAAGAACGGCGAGCTTCTCATCCTCAATGCTGAGGGCAAAGCCGTCACAATGGATGGTGAAAAGCCTACTAAGAAACTTTCCAAGTAAGTTATTGTTATTATTAAGTTATTATATTTGGTGTTGCCAATTTATTATCTTCTCTCTTTGGCTTTGATTATTAGAACACGAGAATCTTTCTGCCATAAAGTTGCGTTTTTGGTTATCATTTTTTTGCAACTGAGTGCAAAATTGTGTATAATTGTATGTTTTCATAAGGTAATGAGTGGACAAAAACACTAACATTAGTTGCACGGTTATATATACCTATATATATCTGCCTTAAAATTTATAAAAGATAAATTGAATGATTTCGATTATGACCAGGTGGACAAAAAAAATGAGTACGGTAATAGTAGTTTCTCAGAGGCAAATTCGTTATGAACTGAATTCTGTCTTTTTTTTTCTAGTGACAAGCAATTGAGTGATTTCTTAGCTTTGTGGTTATTTTCATTGGAGTATGTAACTCGTATTTCTTATTCCATATTTTTCAGAGAAGAAAGGCGAAAGCGCAGGAAACAGCAGAGGATGGAGAAGAAGATGCGCCAAGAGGAGAAGAAACTTCTTGACGATTATCTCCCTTCAGACTACGATGATAGCGGAGATGATGACGGAACTGATAGTTTCAGTGACGAGGACCAAGCGGCTGATGATAACGCTGGGGGCAAGTAATATTAAATAGTAATTGACTGAGAAGTTATATCGCCTTCATATATTCAAAAACTTGCCTATTGTCATGGCAAATATTACCAATCTAAAAAGCGTTGTGTCTATCTTGTAATTAAGATATTAATTTTAATAAATCGGAATTTATTAGATTAGGAAGAGATCATGAAAAGAGCTACCATGTTCACCCATTTTCGAGCGATTCTCACTAATTGTGTAACGTAAGCTGAAATAAATTTGGTCCTATTAAACATGCAGAACTAGAATGTCGAATAGAACTGCCGCTTTAATAAAATTTCCTTGAACATTTTTTATTTTCTGTTTAGTCTTTAGATAGTTCATTAACTTTGAATTTTTTTTAATTATAACCACAGATAATGAAGACGAAATAGAGTCCAGCAATGAAGAAGAAATGGAACAGGAAGATGAAGACGAAATTGATGACGATGACGATGATAACTATTCCGACATTCTTGAAGACGAGGAAGAAGAACGTGAAGAAAATGACGATGACGAAGAAACGGCAATTGAATCAGATACTCAAGGCAAGAAATTAAAGGCCGTTAAGTCACCAAAAGCCTCCGCCAAGGCCGCCGGAGCTCAGGACACAAAACGTAAGCGAGTCTCGTTTTCTTTTGAAACCGAAGAAGAGAAAACGAAGAGAAATCGCGAGATGCAAGAGGAAGCCAGCAAGGAACTACCCTACACATTAGAAGGTTCATTACACTTCTTATTTAGTGTAACCACTAATCCCTCTATTAATTTTTATCCATTGATTATTTAATTGTTGTTACTACCTGAAATGGCCTTCAATTTCCGTAATGGATGTTTTTTTTATATTTTTTGTATGATATCCAATGCGGATTACGAATTTTACTTATAAACTTGAGTTAATCTCTCACTGACGGTTGGTGTGCAAATTCTGTTCTAGATTAGAGTTGTGCAACTTTTTCCTTTTTAAGAACACTTTATTTGTTTTCAATATTATTCCTCGAGACTTTGTCGTTGTTTTATTCAAGAGCCAAATTTTCTTTCAGTGCCGGGCGACTACAACGAGTTCTGGGCGGTGGTCGAGGGCCGCACGCCTGAGGAGCTGGCAACGCTTCTGGAGAGGATGATCGCGACCAACCACCCCGAGCTCCAGCACGCCAATCTCGTCAAATGTGGTCACATATTCTCCTATGTTCTGCAGGTGAGCTAGAATGTTGTCACATATTCTCATATGTTCTGCAGGTGAGCTAGAATGTGGTCACATATTCTCCTATGTTCTGCAGGTGAGCTAGAATGTGGTCCCATATTCTCCTATGTTATGCATGTGAGCTAAGGATTCTTCAGGAGATGAAGGACAAGATCGCACGTCTCAATGACCGATAATTTTCATTGAAACGTGCTTTATTAAGGAATAATGTGAGATTGCTCATGTTACGAGTCATGAATCAATTTAATTTCTTTCTTAATAAATAAGTAACATATCTCGTCTTACGCTACTAGAGTCCGAATATTGCCATGGCTTAAATTTTTTTAGTATTTGTTTCTAGTGCATGTACGATTTTCTTATTATGTAAAATCAACTTTATTATTTATGTACTATTCATAAAATTAAACCGGATTAAAATTTGTTTCCAGCTCATTCATGGACTCTGCGGCACCGTGGGAGTGACTCCGCACCCCCAACATCCTCCCCTGACGTATCTGGACCCCCTCACCCCTCATCTTTACAATCTTGCTAGACTTGCTCCTGTAGAGGCCGCCAAGGCCTTCCTTTTGGTCAGTATCACACAAAGTTCAAAATGTATTCCGCAGTTATCCATTTCATGCAAAGTATTGAGGAACTAATAAGAACTTATTTTGCAATGCAAGATAATCATCCAACTAATATCGCATCTAATTAGTACATACCGTCAGAAATCATGGAGGAAAACTGAAACAAAGATAAGACGACAGATTTCTCGATTCCTAGTAATGTTCGGAAATTCGAAATATTGCACGTGAAGAGTAATTCAGATCGTCATGTAGTTTAATAATGTATAATTTTTTGCAGGTTTTCATAGAGAAGCGCGACGAGTACAGGGACAGAGTGAAGAAGAGGTACCCAACACTAGACACGGTGAGCCATCTATTGCGTATTAAGAACGAGTTCAAATGCTATAACGAAGCAATTTATCCTTCTTGAATCCTTATATTAATTTTTTATGCGTGATTCTGATACTACATATTACAATTCTAAAAACCATCTGGCCTAAATAAGTTTTTTGTGTGATTCCAATACTTTGTATTATTATTCCAACACTTTGCCACAGTAGTGAACAATTAATTATTGAGAGTTGGTTGCATTAGTTGCTAGAAAAAAAGGCTCCCAGTAGAAATACGTGCAATAAAGTAAGTTCCCCTAAGTTGCCCTGGATATAACTGTTATAAATAAGTTTCTTAGTGATTACATAATAGTTTTATAACAGTTACCTATATCCAGAACAACCTAGGGGAACATACTTTATTGAGAGTTGCTTAAGAAGTCGCTGAAATTTTTTCAGCTGGTGTTCCTGCAACTGGCGGGGGTGATGTACCCGGCAAGTGACTTCTACCATCCTGTGATGACGCCCGTGAAGCTCTTCCTGACGCAGCTCTTGGGTGAGGCTAAAATGAAGACTCCCAGGGACGTCCTGGCCGCACTCTACTGCGCAACGGTGCTGCTGGATGTAAGTTTCCTGTCTTCGTGTTGCACCTTACTGTTTTATTTATTTATTTTAGCTGCCCAACTTCCTATAATCTGTAAAAAATCGATGCGAATAATTCCTTGAATTCACTTGAACCGTTATTTATTAATTATTAGTTTCTGATCAGTTTGTCTTTTTCTCAGTACAAAAGCAAGACAAAGCGCTTTAGCTCAGAGCTCCTGGGTTTGATTCTGCGTTTGGTTTGCTTATTTGAGTAACTTTTGAGTAACCAACTACCTGTAAAAAGTAAAAAATCAATTGAAATGATTGTTTGAATTATCTCCTATCTCCTTTTTTGTTTATTATTAATTTATATGCATAAATATTCTTGCAGTACAACAGCGAGACAAAGCGCTACAGCTCGGAGCTGCTGACGCGGCTGTTGGGTTTGGTTCTGTGCTGCGTGCCGACGGAGGCGCAAGACGAAGCTGTGCTGGCGGAGCGGGAACGCAGCAAGCTGCGCAGAGAAGACCTCGTACGACTTAAAGAGAGCCACACACCACTCCATTGGATCGTGCATGCCACACTGCCACCTCCCGAAATGCTGCCCCTCACAACTGCCGTGAAAATATCGTGAGCATGATGCCATTTTGAATGAATGCAAATAAAGTCACAGTTTTATTGAATGAATAATAATTGATGAATGCGCAAATAATGTCGCACTGTTTTTTAGCGCATTTTCTCATTTATGGAAAAAATGCACTATTGTGCTCGCCATGTCCGTCTGTCTGTCCGTCCGTCCGTGACCTCAAGTTTTCGTCGACGAGAAAATGCGCGCTCTGTCATTCACTGCAGTGAGTACTGAGTTATATTTTTTGTACTTGGGCTCATTGTCACAACTTCTCACCTAACGTGCATCAGCTGGCCCAAATGAGGGTGGATGAGCGATAATCACAGGCGGCGATCCATCGTGGCCTGGGTTACCAAGTTACCTAATATATTTATAGCAGACGTCTCATGACCATAATGTCCACGTGCAATTCCGTGGCAAGAATTTGAACACAAAATCGAACTACATTCCTCTCTCTATTAACTGCAATAGTTACCTAAAAAACTTATGACCACCATTATTATTGTTCGGCTCCGCTAGCCCAAGTTTTCATTACTCGAAATAATAACTACGTTATTTGACAATCGTTTGTTCTACAGGACAGCTCCTCCCAAATTCGAACTTTCAATGCTGAATGATGCTAACTTAATCCTGAGCGACCAGTTCCGCTGCACGGTCCTGCTGACGTGCCTTACGCTACTGCGCGACCTCTGCTGCCACTGGGCTGAGCTGCCCTCCGTCAGGGAAGCCCTCTCTCCTCTGCATCAAATCCTCCTCCTCATTCCCACACATCTTTACCCCAATGAAGTTCTCAAGGCCAAAGAAGAGCTTGAAATAGCCTTGAATAAATTACCGCCACATCCTCCCAAAATGAGGATTAATCGAGGTCGTCCTAAAGTAAGTTGACTCATTGCATGGGCAGATAGCTTTTCTTATGCAGTTTGTTCCTCAAAAATAGCGATCTTACACTTTTTTGTTCCCACGTTATTTGGGCTTCTCCACAGCATAATGCATAGGTCATAACGATCTTGCATACAAACATATTATCTAAGTAAATCTGATCATTCTTCGTTACATTCGTGTAGGTGTCAAACATTTTACGTTAGCAATGCTCATTGTTTCCCCCCGTGCATCGCAGCCACTGCGCATGTACGAGCCCCTGGTGCTACCTATGAAGGCAGAGGCTCCGCGCAACGCATTCAATAAGTCAGGCCACCGGGCGCTCAAACAGAAGCTGCTCCACTGTGTCAAGAAAGAACGAAAGGCGGCTACTAGAGAGATCAAGAAGGATAATCTATTTTTGGCTCAGCAGAAACTCAAGGAAACACTCGCCAGGTTAGTGAGAACTATATTCATGCGTGAACTTGTAATTACTATATCTGCTCTATTGATGTCCAAAGAAAAGAGTAAGTGTCTATTAGAAAACTTGCTGTTAAAATTGCCGATTATGTGCCCTAAATGCACAAATTACTAAATGGAAATATTGTATTTTGCAGCGATGCGGAGCGGAAGAGAAAAGTGAATATCATCATGAACGATTTACGTCACCAAGAAGGAGAGCATAAAAAATATCAGAAGATGAAACCCGGAAAAAGAATATAGGGATTCAATAAAATATGTATCGAATTTATAATTCTTTTATTATAAATTTACACTTCACTGGAACTGTACAATAAAGTAGACAACTAACCCTGCTGGGTTGCTATCTGTATTGCCATAAATCAAACAGCAAGAGAAGAGATAGTTATTTTGGTTCTAAACACTCATCTTTTTTGAAATACCCTTTATTATTGAATAGATTGAACATAAATATTTAATTCTTGTCTACGTATGGGAGCTAGTGAAGTGCAATGACGGCAACAACTCGTGTGACTTAGCTCGCTTGGGCAGCAAGCACTTCAGCCTTCGCGACAACATCTTCGATGGCGCCTACCATGTAGAATGCGGCCTCTGGATAGATATCATAGTCGCCTGCCAGGATGGCTTTGAATCCCTGCAAGAAGATATTCATTTTACAAATCTGATCCGCATTACCATCAAACTGGCAGAATTACCTGAATCACCACCCTGCACATGTCTCATGATCTTCGTTCAATGTGCAATTTTAACCCTCAGTAAATTCGCAAAACGGTAATTTTGTTCTCCAAATGCCCACTATAAGCCAGTGCCATGCTACGCACAAACAAATGCAACGACTAACTATACATACCAAATTGTTTCTATTCGTATTTCCACGTCTATCATTCGTTATTTGTATTTATTTTGCCATTTAGCTGTACATACACATGTGACTCGTCAATACAAGCCTTAATTTCTAATTCAAGTAGTACGATTAATTCAAAATTCTTATTATACTGAATCTGCGCTGATGCTGCTCAAAGGCATTGGTGCCCAAGACTACGTTACGTAAGAAGCTGGACATACGCCCGTTTACATATTCCTTGGGCCGAAAATGCCCAAGTTCTCAAAGGTTTTAATTACTAGCATGATGAATGTCTACGTACATAAAGCATTATAATATAAGCTCATCACATAAACAGTTACTCACCTTGATGGTCTCTGGGAGAGAGACAAATTTGCCGGGATGTCCCGTGAAGACCTCAGCGACCTGGAAAGGCTGCGAGAGGAAGCGCTGGATCTTGCGGGCGCGTGACACGGTCATCTTGTCCTCCTCGGACAACTCGTCCATACCCAAGATAGCGATGATGTCCTGCAGTGACTTGTAGTCCTGCAAGTCCAGATAATTAGTTATGTGCTGGCAAACGTTTTTGGGGAGGAAATAAGATACGTACGTTAGCATTTTTACGAAATAAACACTTATTGAGTAGCATGTTATCTTACATTTCAAGACAAATTCTTTCCCTATCTTTTTTTTATGTAGCTAAAAACTTCTAAGATGTAGTATAAAAACCAATGCAAATATTATCAAAAATAAACTATATATGTACGTGTTAAGCAATCAATTTGTAATAAAAGAAACAATGGCCGGCTTTCTAAGACCGCTTCCTAGGCACGGCATATTGCGAAGGAAGCAACGCACCTGAAGAATCTTCTGCACACCACGGGCTACTTCATAATGGTCAGCGCCGATGATGTTAGGGTCCATGATACGGGAGGTGCTGTCAAGGGGATCCACTGCGGGATAGATACCCAGCTCGGCAATACCGCGGGACAACACAGTCGTGGCGTCAAGATGGGCGAAGGTCGTAGCGGGTGCAGGATCAGTCAAGTCATCAGCGGGCACATAGATGGCCTGCGATACAAAATATTTGAGTTCGACTACTTTCAAAAGGCAGTCACTCATTAGCAGCTCTTTCGATGGTCCATACTATTATTTTTGTGAACATACGTTCTCAGTGAGTCGACCTGTCTCAACAAATTTTTCATTCATTTCTTATTGCGTTCAATAATACAAATGATGGCACATTAACTGTCGATAGAAACTAAGCGCAGATATACCAAGAACTATCGGTAACTTTCGCGAATGTTACCTGCACAGAGGTGATGGATCCCTTCTTGGTGGTGGTGATGCGCTCCTGCATGCTACCCATGTCGGTGGCCAGCGTGGGCTGGTAACCTACAGCAGATGGGATTCGACCCAGCAAGGCAGACACCTCAGAACCAGCCTGTTGATGAAGCACATTTGGAAGAATGTACTAAGATGACATAGGTACATCTTCAAGTTAGAACTATACATCATATATTTAGGTAAATAGAAGCCAAGAGTCATATCTAAATTAAGATCGATGCGAGTCTTTCACTACTGAAACGTTAGCATCCCAGGTCGTAGCAAAGGTTACTATGGTATTTCAACCGAGAACATTTTCCTGCATTCATTTCTGCCCGCATTCCGAATCTATAGTTTGCATTATTTCACCTCATAGTTCATAACGAGCCGATTCATGGAGTAACATTGTTTGCACTAAATTAGTTGCCTCTTCCAAATCATAATTAGTAGTAGTTGGTAGCCCTTCAGAAAATTTTTAAATGTTCAACACCCAAGTTTCAATTCGCATTTACGCAGCGCCGTCGTTCAAGGGGAGCGTCTAGGGTAAAATTTATCTCTGCTATTTACAAACTGATCACTCAAACTTGGTACACATATGTAAAATAGAATTCTAAGACATTTTTGTTCGTGTGAATTTTTCGAAAAAAATGAAAGAAAACGTGAAATTCTTAGAAATGAAGAGCAGCACATCCTGACCCTCCTGATCACGGAAGTATTCGGCGACGGTGAGGCCGGTGAGAGCAACACGAGCACGGGCGCCGGGAGGCTCGTTCATCTGGCCGTACACAAGCGATACCTGCGAGCGCAGAGACAGGTAAACTTTGGCTCCTGTCTTTGTAATTACAATAGACGTTTCTGATATGAATTTGGTCGCGTCGCTCGATCACATTGTATTTTATCAAGTGCTTACCATTTGACATGCTTAATTGCATTGCACTTTCCTACTATAAATAGAGAGATTTTGATAGTTGTGCATTGCCAAAACTTACAAATTATCCATCATTGTAAGATAAAACCCGGATAACTGGTAGAACTCAATTACTTTATTACACTGAAGTCAAATTTTAAGGATAATGACTGAGAAATGGTATATTATTTCATCGAAATTAAAGTAAAATTGTATTTCCTTTAATAGACACCAAATATTCTTCCGCAAAATCACGGTCGAATTCATTGCAATTGTTAAAAAAATTCAATCCTTTACATAACAGTATACATTGCTTTTATTGTCAATTGATCTATAAAAACAATTCACAACCATTTGGTGTGCTTACTCAATGCTACCGATAACATTCATGGTGAAGCATTTGGTCTCGCACAAACATTATTTAACTCTCATAACATATTCAGAGCTTTCTGGTATTTCAACACTGCTTCTGGTACTTCAACGCAAACAATAACACATTAGAACTATCATGCTTACTCAATAATGCCCTCCTTGGATCATGCTAACTCAATAATGGCCTCCTTGGAGTATCATGCTAGCCTAATACTGCTCACCTTAGAACTATCAATCATTTCTGTAATGCCCTCCTAGGGGTATGATGCTAGGAGGGCACCTAATAATGCTCACCTTTGAGGTATCATCCTTGAGAGATATGACACCGCCTTCAATCATCTCATGGTAGAGATCGTTACCCTCACGGGTCCTCTCTCCCACGCCGGCGAACACAGAGTAACCACCGTGGGCCTTGGCCACGTTGTTGATCAGCTCCATGATGAGCACAGTCTTGCCCACACCAGCACCGCCGAACAGACCTGAAGCGAATCACGCACTTGTGGGTGGGGGGTAATGGAAGTCCCAAGATATCAGAGACCTAGACTAAATGTTTACATATTAGATCCTGTAACTTGTATGTTATGGGAGCTCATTGAATCTAGCAATAGTGAAAAAAATAAGATATCAAATGATGATTTTTAATTCCTAATTCAATCGCAGCCATCAAATGGAATAACTTCTTAACGTTACTTCTTCAAATTTAAAACAGCTTATTAGCCAAGTTGATGAAAAAATACCTAAAAATGTAGAGAAATCTCATTGCTAACATTAGCAAGGCAGGGATAAGAAGTTGTATACCGCATAGCACGGAAAAACTCACCAATCTTTCCACCCTTGGAGTAAGGAGCCAGCAGATCCACAACCTTGATGCCAGTCACCAGGATCTCCTGCTCAACGCTCATCTCCACGAAATCAGGAGCCTCGGCGTGGATAGCAGCGTAGTGATCAGTCACGACGGGGCCGCGCTCATCAATGGGCTCGCCTGTACCGTGTACAACTCGTGAGTCAACGATGTCAAAATACACAGAAGAGTAATCCTGGATCTATACTGTGTACACTCAACACTTTCCCCATTGCTATGGATAAATTTGAACATTTTTCATCTCCTGCAGTGATCTTTTTTCACAGACCATCCCCCCCCCCCCAAAAAAAATTCAGTGAGTAAGTCTTGCAAGACATTCAATGAGATTTTGCAACTATGGCACAAATTAATTTTCAAGTCAGGACATAAATTCTATATGCTGTTCCTTGAATGCAGGAGTGTGATTATGGTATGCATGACACAACGGGCAGATGATTGGCACTGGCACAGTCACGGCGATGAAGTTTAAACAAAACCTTGTTTTGGGATTCGAGAGGCTTTTTTGATGGAATTTCAAGTAGACAAATTGTAATTAACTGGCAACTCGTCAATCCATGGTGAGCAGTGAAAATGTTCTAGGCTTTTCCTCAGGGATTGATGATGCGAGTCAGCTTAAAAAAACACCAATTAAAAAATAAAAAAAAATTAGCAATCACTGTACACTCCAAAAACATATCAGTAATATTACAGCACAACAGGCTAACATTTATGCACTACAACCATGNCTTAATATAGGTATGAACAAATTGAACACATCTTTCTTCAATTACTGTACTAATCTTAGTGACAAATTAAAGCCTGCATTTGCCATTTTATTTTCAATACTACGAGTAGGTAGACTAGAACTTGCTAAGAGCCAGAGAAGCGAGATTCGAGAGGTTTAATCATGAAACATGCCATCACATTTAGGCATTTGAATGATTTGACTGATAATCAAATTTAAGCAACAAATTTGTAGATGCATTGAACACGATGCTTGAGATCAACAAAGACATCCTTTTAATAACGGACTATAACTACGTTAGTACATAGGTAATTATAGTTTACAATGAATCCAACATCGGATGATCGGTTTTTGCTTTTACATTGCAAAGTCAGTAAAATTAAAGACTCACGGGTGGTAAAAAGCGCAGGTACTGTCTTGATGGCAGTTCCTTGTATTTTAGAAGCGGTAACAGCAGGTTTTGCAACCTTTAATAATGACGAACAAGCTCTATGTGCAGCCCCCAACATGTCGACAGTCACCGTGCACCAGCCTACTCAAATCTTGTCAGCCGGTCTCTGGTTGTCCCTGCCGTCTCGCAAAATGTCGGTGACAGGGTGCCAACTAGGGATTTTTGAACGAAAAGTAGTTATGAATTTATATTAACAATTCGTAAAAATCTCCATTGAGTATTGGATATTGACGTAATTTAAAATTTATTTCATTATGAGTTACATATATATTACTGTATAGAATTTATTATGCTAAAATTTGTTGTAAGCCAAGCTCAATTACACGGTGCATCTTGATAATCATTAGCATGCAGTGAATGAATTGTCAGTATAATATATTATTTCATTATTAAAATCTTTTAATTTAGTAAAAATTTAGATAGGAATTCAGTGCTAACCGAGTTAACTGCTTCATGAACCGATTCGACACTCTTACGATCGTGATCGCGATACGATTTATAAAAAAATGGGTAACTTTTAAATTCACATAAAATTTCCCCAAAAAATTAGGTTGGCATTTGGGTATCCGTGTAATTTAATACATTTTTTGTAAGGTGAGTTCCCAAAGTTCTATTGTAGTAAAGTATTTTTATTGTGATTCTTATCAACATAATACCACTCGAATAGATCGATAACTGATTGATGACTTTCAACGTATGAATTGTCTGCATTTCGCTTCGTAAGTACAACTAATAACTCTTCCAAAGTAACATTTCGTTAATCATTTAGCGACCAGCTACCATCCGAGTTCAAAATTCTCATCTCCACGAAATCAGGAGCCTCGGCGTGGATAGCGGCGTGGTGATCAGTCACGACGGGGCCGCGCTCATCAATGGGCTCGCCTGTTCCATGAACACTCATGAGTCAACGATGTCAAAATTCACAGAAGAGTAATACTGGATCTATGTAAACTCGATACTTTCCTCATTACTAAGGATAAATTTGAACATTTTTTATCTCCTGCAGTGATCTTTATTCAAAAAGCATTCCCCCCTCCAAAAAAAAAAATTTGCAAGACATTCAGTGAGATTTTGCAACTACAACACAAGTTGAATTGGAAGTCAAGACATGAATTCTTTATGCTGTTTTCTTAATCCTGGAGCGTGGTTATGGAATGCATGACACTACAGGCAGATGACTGGTCACTGGCACAGTCACGGCAATGAAGTTTAAACAAAACCTTGTTGTGGGATGCGAGGCTTTTTTGATGGAATTTCATGTAAACATAAATAGTAATTAACCAGCAACTCATCAATCCATGCTGAGCAGTGAAAATATCCTAAGGTGTTGAACAACAGAAACTGACCAGTGATCAAAATTACCCACTCAAGGTGATGTAGGCCTATCCTCAGTGATAGACGATGCGAGTCCGCAAAAAACACCAAGTAGAAAATTAAAATATCAGCGATCCCTGTACTTTCTAAAAACATTTCAGTGATAGTACAGCACAACAAGCTAACATTTATGCACTACAACCATGTGTTCATTGAAGATACTATGAAAAACTGTTCAAATCACACATTCAAGGCTAAACCTCACCAATAACATTGATGATCCTGCCTAGAGTGGCAGGTCCTACAGGAATTCTGATGGGAGAGCCAATATCATGGACAGCTTGTCCACGCACAAGACCCTCGGTACCATCCATGGCAATACAGCGCACTGTGTTCTCCCCCAAGTGTTGGGCAACTTCAAGCACCAGCCTGGGAGAGCGGTTCTGCACCTCCAAAGCATTGAGGATGGAAGGGAGGTTGGTATCAAACTGCACATCCACCACAGCACCAATGACGGCTACAATTTTGCCATCCTTAGAGCCTCCTGCTGCCTTAGCAGCATAGTCACGCTCTGTAGAGGAAAAAACAATGAAATACATTTTTCAGAAAATGTCTAGAACAGAACAAATATCTTTAACAGCCAGTTATTTACATTTCACACCACAGTATAGGTATAGAAGCAGTGCTATATGTACTCCATACTCCACAGCTAGACTGAAAAATTCATCAGATCCCTGAGTGCTCTGATACAATGTGTCAAAATTGCCTGTCCACATGACACAGTTTCACCCCTGACTTAACCTAATTACTTTATTTACACTAGTATACCCCTAATGTCCAGGAATGAATTTATAAATGTGCTTACTGCTTAAAATGATTTTCATTCTTGAAAAAAGTAATTTGGTCAATCATTTAGTTTAACAATTACAATTAATTCCTTATGATTAATTCCAACTTCATCCCTCATTTCAATCTCAAAAAGAAACTTTTCAAGTTGACAATAATCAATTAATCAAAGCAAGTATAGGTAATTATTTCCAGGGTCTTTATGCAAAAGGCTGGTTAAAATTGCAATAGACAACTAAACAAATACAGACCCTACATGACAACTGTATGGCATGGATGCTAATGTGGCAAGGCCAACTTCCTTAGGATTTTTCTCAGTCTAATCAGTAAACCAACATATATTTATACCAACAAGTATAAATATGATGGATACCAGCATTATCATATCATATCATCTGAACATAAGGGCAGGAGTTACAGAATGGGGAACCTACTTGCACATCCACCTCATTCTGCTGTACATGTTCATGCTGAGCAGTGCAACACCTCTGTATCTGCTAGTGATTTCAAAATTCTAGCTTCCACATCTGGTGTTAGTGATCTACGAATTTTAGAATCCCTGACCCTGTATATATTTAAACAGAAGCCTAGTCTGAATGCCACTCTTAGCTTCTTTTCTCTTGAAATAGTGGATAGATAAGCCGTTTACTAATATTAATTTTATGTCTTATTAATCTATTTTCCATTTTGAAGTCTGACAGTGCATTTTATTTAACTAATTGATTGTATTGTTTTTTTCTAGGACTGAACTTTTCTGAACAGAATTTTGTGTTATGAACTGACAATGGAGCTAGACTCCAGAAAGTTTTCTGTTTATAAAGATATGGTAAATTTTTGTGGTAGTCTTTGCTTTTAAATTCCTGCTTAACTTACAATTCAATCAAACAAGTGATTTTGAAAATCACAAAATATAAATTGGATTATAAAAAATCTCATGTTTGACATTAAGTTTGTACCTGTATCTGGTCACAGACTTCTAAATAAAAAAGAATGTGTATATTGTATACCATAGAAACAGAATTAAATAAGAACTTCCTACTGTCAATGACATGATTCTGCACTTTCATCACAGCTAACCTCCCTCCATTCAATGGTGCCAGTCTTGGTAACTGGTAATCTCTGGTATACATTTCAGAGTTAGTGTTTCTAGCCTGTAACTGTAAGCCTGGTGCCTTGAAACAAAAAAAGCTAGGTAGGTATTTTACTATTTTTAGTATGTTTTCATAATAATGGTGTTTAAATCTTTTCTGGAGAAAATATTTCATTAAATTATTAGTGGCAGAATTAGCCTACAGTACATTGATGAATGATGACAACTAAAATTATATTAAAATTGCAATTTGCAGACAATCTTTAATTAAGCAAAGTGTGAATGTAGAACAGAAAATTGAGACATCAAGTTTGCAAATTATTTCTGAACAGGGCTTTAATGACAATTCCATGCTGATTGATGAATTCTTAATAGTATACCTAGTAACCTACCTACCTAGGTATGAACAAATTGAACACATCTTTCTTCAATTACTATACTAATCATAGTGACAAATTAAAGCCTGTATTTGCCATTTTATTTTCAATCCTGCGAGTAGACGAACTCTAAGTGACTTACCTAACTTGCTAAGAGTCAGAGAGGCGAGAGGTTTAATCATGAAACATGCCATCACATTTAGGCATTTGAATGATTTGACTGATAATCAAATTTAAGCAACAAATTTGTAGATGCATTGAACACGATGCTTGAGATCAACAAAGACATCCTTTTAATAACGGACTATAACTACGTTAGTACATAGGTAATTATAGTTTACAATGAATCCAACATCGGATGATCGGTTTTTGCTTTTACATTGCAAAGTCAGTAAAATTAAAGACTCACGGGTGGTAAATAGCGCAGGTGCTGTCTTGATGGCAGTTCCTTGTATTTTAGAAGCGGTAACAGCAGGTTTTGCAACCTTTAATAATGACGAACAAGCTCTATGTGCAGCCCCCAACATGTCGACAGTCACCGTGCACCAGCCTACTCAAATCTTGTCAGCCGGTCTCTGGTTGTCCCTGCCGTCTCGCAAAATGTCGGTGACAGGGTGCCAACTAGGGATTTTTGAACGAAAAGTAATTATGAATTTACATTACCAATTCGAAAAAAATCCCACTGAGTATTGGATATTTATGTAATTTTGAATTTATTTTATTATGAGTTACATATATTTTACTGCATTGACTTTATTATACTAAAATTTGTTATAAGCCAAGCTCAATTATATGGTGCAGCTTGATAATCATTAGCATGCAGTGAATGAATTGTCAGTATAATATATTATTTCATTATTAAAATCTTTTAATTTAGTAAAAATTTAGATAGGAATTCAGTGCTAACCGAGTTAACTGCTTCATGAACCGATTCGACACTCTTACGATCGTGATCGCGATACGATTTATAAAAAAATGGGTAAATTTTAAATTCACATAAAAATTTCACAAAAAAATTAGGTTGGCATTAAGTATCCGTGTAATTCATTACATTTTTGTAAGGTAAGTTCCGAAAGTTTTATTGTAGTAAAGTATTTTTATTATAGAATAGAATAGAAGTGTCGGCGTTGAAGAAATAGGCCCATGGCCTGTTGCCGATTCTTATCAACATAATACCCTCGAATAGATTGATAACTGATTGATGACTTTCAACGTATGAATTGCCTGCATTTCGCTTTGTGAGTCGAACTAATAACTCTTCCAAAGTAACATTTCGTTAACCATTTAGCGACCAGCTACCTTCCGAGTTCAGATTACTACTATACTACATTGCTGAAATGTAACTATTAAAAAACCTTGACGTATGACTAGAACCTGCAACAGGGCATAACGCAGCCTGATATTAATGCCCAAATATTTGTCAAATTGGTCCCTTCACGCATCAGTATTATACGTAAAGCAAAAAAAAAAAGAATTCATGGCAGCACAAACCAAATCTAAATAATGGTCTTCTATCATGTTAGTTTCCAGATTCCAAATAAATATTCCCCGTTGAAATTAATGCTATTGATAAAAGAGACTAGCTATACGAAAAATATCCAACGGGAGACCTAAAATTTTGTCCCGAAATCTTTCCAAAAAATCGCCACTACCATAAGAATATGGATAAGGGATATCAAAACAATCAACATATTTTGACATTTTAATGAACGCAAATCAAGTTCCAATAAATTAAATTTAGAAACGAGAAACACAAATCAAGACAAACAATATAAATTAAAGATAAATATAAACGAGTTAATGAAAACGCAACACACTTACGATCACACCGCACAACGTCCCTAGTCAGAAACCTCATCTCCCCACCATAACCCCAATGACAAGCACACCTAGAAAAATGAACGTGGCTTTGTCCAAAAGGTGATGAACTTGTAGCACTTGTGTGGGTCATACTGACACACTTGTAGCGTATCAGTGCTACGGCAGTTTCCTGCTAGTGCATTAGTTAGGCCAAGTTAGTTACTATATGGACACTATGACACATTCATTTTTCTGAAAGCACTTCTCGATAGAACATTTTTACCTTTAACATTTTAAAGTGTGAGAGTCGCTTATTTATAAATAATTTAGGTTCGTCTTTCACGAATATGAATCGCAGATTTTTACTGGAATAATTTCGAAGATAGGCAAATGGGGAGGGGCTGATGGATGGGACATCACCTCTGATGGATGAGGGCGCACATTTCGCATGCACATTTACTGGTCAGTCGACAAAAAAAAATATTTCAAATGCAATAAGTGAACTGCAGTTTCATTTATAAATTAGTGAACAAACTTTAAGATTAAGCGTACTTTAGAACCTCTGACTCGAAAGGCGATAATGTCGCAGGAAGTTATATAACACAATACATTCTAACAGTCATTCCGACATCATACAGGGCAAGCACGTACAATAGGTTAATATATTTAAAGAAAAAAACATGATCCCAACCCGACAGCCAATAAGTCACTATAAACAATACATTAACGAGGTCATATTGTCGAAATAGTGATACACTCTCTGCACGTAGCACTGCTACCTTCTTTTGCTACTACAAACTGAGTCAGGATCACCTCACTAAAGAGTAAAAAGTGCATGCTATATAATCAAAGTTTTACTTATTTCTCTGTGTGCAGATAGCGGTAGCCACTAGTTTACATCAGTAACAATATAATTGCAACCAATTTAAACTAATTAGACATTATATGACAGGCAGCCCGTCACTGACTATTGGCATGTTAGGTTGGGTCGCACGCTTCATTATAATATAAACCTAAGGTGCGGCTAATAGGTTGATATTTAGGTTAATATAATATATTTAGGTTAACATAAAAATATTAACCTAAAATTAACTGCACGCACATGAGTCGGTCCGTTAAACGAATCTAATGATAAACCTGAACCCAGGATAGACCCGAACGAATAACGCGTTAGTCAAATACAAATTTTATCGTCTAGAATAGAGGAATATTAATTTTTGGAAATCTAAAATGCAAAAATGATTTTTGAAACGATTTTCAATGCAATTGCAATAAGTGAACGACTTTAGTAGATGATTGAACGGTTATATTAGCGCAAGTATTTCTCATGGGGCACAATTAATGGTCCCAGTATCAAAGATTACCACAATACAATAAATCAGGAGTATCAGGAAATTATTTTCATAATCTAATATTGATTAAAAATTTAATTTTACCAAAACAGGCTTGAATGGACAACGAAATTAAATCAACAAAAATATATATTGTATATAAGTTTAGCGCAAGATATTTGATAGCACAAAGAAGGTTCTTATGTACTTCATCTTCACATAAACTATTGCGTAGTTTATTTATTCAAATATTAAGAGTGAACGGTTATTAGTTATATACACTAAAGCTTCTAGTTATATAAATCTCGAACATAAATAAATCAAACAAACGCAAACAACAGAAATTGAAAGCTGAAAGACAAAGAGAAGTTGTTCTTCGTGCGAGAACAACTGTGACTTGTTACTAACACGTCGGGGCCAGCTGTTATTATAGCAATTATAGATCTCAGTCATTGTTTCTCTTTACTTTTTATCAGGAGTCTGCACTGAAAATTTGTGATTTACATAGAATTTAACAATATTATGAATTATTATGAATAATTTTTATGAATTTCATCGCAATATTGTTTTAAATATTGTAGATCAGAATGGGATTAATATCAACATTCATACCCGTATTTCCTGTGCAGGTTCCAATAAGTTCATATTATAAAGCCAAAAATTCATTAATAAATACCCGAAAATGAGATAGAAAGACAACATCAGAATAGCTTTCGGTTTGGTTTGAGTTAAATCTCAAAACGTATCGAAATTATTGAATCAAATAAGATTCTTAAATTATTTATTAGAATTACTATAGATCTTAAGGAAGGCACAGCGAATTTGAGGAAAGATTTCAAGTTAACAAACTCGGGATAGTTGATAATTGCACATGCAGGGAGAGATGAGAAACAAAATTCAAAAGCAAAGAATAAGTACAGAATTTCAAGTAGAAAAGAGACGTGCAAAAGGGATTAAGAGAATAATTAATTAACATGTAAATGAACACATGTTGCAGGCCGACAGACGATGTTCGTCTTGTGTTCAAATTACGAACAACGACATTTAATGAAAGTAAAAGGCATCAACATCAACAGAATAATTTCAAGTCAAAACTGCTCTCCAAGACACCTCTGCATACACATTTAAGCAGCTAATAATAGAGATGACAGTAATACATTTATTGCGAAAACTGTATAAATGAACACATCTATGTTAAAATTTTACTAAAATGCATAGTATTCATCATTCTAGGTATTGCATGACATGAAACACAGTTTCTTACGCTTTTCTGGGACGAAAGCGTTACCGTAACGAATAATGTAACACGAATGCCGGTCTTGCCGCCATAAGCATACGGTTCGTGGACCACAGACGAAACGCGGCACCGACATGAGATGTATAATGTAAATATGAATGAATTCAACATCCAAATAATTGTATGGTCCTACACTAACCCATGTTCACACACAATACAGTTGGAAATATTCAGTTATTTTTATCCAAACACAGCTTGCATAGTTGCCAGAATAAATATTTTAGTACATCTCGCATACAAAATCAGAGATTATGCAATGAATGCTATCAACGGCAAAAATAATAAAATATCAATAACTCTTGCACGGTAACCATATACCATTATTATTACCTATGAAACGTCAATAATTGTAATTATTTCACATGTAATTATGCAGATTAATTCAGCGACTAATAATCTTGTATTAATTCTAACAATTACTTGATAAGACATTCAACAAAGACCGATGGAAAGATCATAATAATATCATGGATACATAACGAAAGCAAACGACTAAAAAACATTGTTAAAAATTATAACATGAATAGTGATAATAAGTGCTATTAATCTGATATAAAAACTACTTCATATGGATAATTGTGATGCGTTCAATGAAAAAATTCTTTATGAACTTCAATATATGGTGAGTAATCTCGCCATATCGTGAATGAATAAATCATGAATAATGATGATCATAAATGATGATTAACAGCAACGTGATCATCGTCGCATTAGTAGTTCATGAAATGAAATACGTACTCGTTATCATTATAATGAATAGCCTCCTTCACTAACATCACCATCACCACATCCCAACCGTCATCACACAACCACATCATCCAGCAATCATACCGGAAAATAACGCATATATAACTCATAATATTGCAATATAAGGAAATATAATTGAAATAATATTGAAATATATTGAAATATATTGAAATATATTGAAATATATTGAAATAATATTGAAATATATTGAAATATATTGAAGAACATTGAAATATATTGAAATATATTGAAACATGAGAGCTGAGCTACTCCTTGGTAAGTGGATGTAACAGCCCCAGGCCACGCTAGAGCGCCGCCTTACACTAATATATTCAAAATTAAATCAGCATTCACTTGAATCCTCATCTATGTGAAAAAATTTATTCTTGATTTCTCTTTTTAGCGCATGTTCTCATTTATGAAAATAATGCACTATTGTGCTCGCCATGTCCGTCTGTCTGTCTGTCCGTCCGTCTGCCCGTCCGTGACCTCGTTTTCGTCGACGAGAAAATGCGCTCTCTGTCAGTCACTGCAGTGAGTACTGAGTTATATTTTTTCTCTTTTCTTTTTTATATCACTATTTAGACAATAAATAGTGATAGTTATATTTTTCTTCTCTCTGGTGACGTGACATTCAGTGGTAATGGAAGCTGTAAAGGCAGTTCGCCACACACGGTAAAGCTGAAGGCTTAAATTATTGTTTATTTTAAATTAATTTAAACAATTAAATTTAATTAAATAATGCGAGTATTGTTATTATGTTAATCTAGTGCAAGAACTTACAAGCAAGGGGCACATGATAATGAAAACAAGTAACGCTCACATAAGCAAACCAAAGAATTGTAAAACAAATTTCTAACTGGATAACTATTAGAATTAACTGCTATTAATACAAAGTAAGAAAGCACGCACTGAAAAGTGAATATAATAACAGATAATTTCATCCTAATAGCACCTCATAATAGTTGAGAAATTTTGAAAAGTGCCGTTGTGAATGATGATTGAACTTGTCTGTAAATGGTCATGGTTAAATTTGGTGCTCTCAGAAAACCAGAGCAAAGACACGGTACGTAGGAAACAAGAAGTTTTCAAGTTTCGAAATGTTACTACATTAAATGCTTTTCTAGAATCAAACACATTAACATAAGGGTTAACTTCCCCTAACAAGAAACACACACAGACTTGAATTACTTAGTCTACGGACAACAAAGGTGGGCAAGTTCACCATCTAAATAACTTTGCTGTAAATTATATATTCACTGCACACCACGAAATGTTCTATAAATTCATTACCAACATCTAGCCTATCATGATTCCTATCTAGAACTTCAGCATTACAATTCAGCTTTGCAATACTCACAATCTCGCTTTAGCAACTCATAAATAACAACTTTAATAACTTCAGCATCTCTATTTCTAGTTTCAGCACCACATTTAGTGCTCAAAAATAATGGTGTTGCCAAGCTCTAAGCACGGACGGTTCTGGATTGCTAACAAATGGACGTTCTTGCCGGCTTCCTCCTCTACCTTCTTCCTAGCGACAAGCTTATTAATATGCATAGTATTCATGTTATATTATTAATATGCATAGTATTTATGTTATATTCAAAACCAAATGCTGTACGGCACAGCCTCATGGAGTCTATGTATCATAAACATTATAACTCATTTGTCAACATAGCCTAGAACATCCAAGAGGCACGAGATAGAGTTACTAAATTGAATATTAGAAAAATCTAAATCGACTGTTGAAGCGAACTTCACTTCGCACTGGCATTCTTCAGTTAATTCCACTTCCACGAAGCATCTTACAACGCGAGAAAAAGAGAAAAAAAATCGTTGGGAAAGCTAATTTATTTCTTCTGCTCATATTTAAACAAGAGCCTGCTCGAAATTTTTCGTGGTAGGTAAATATTCTTCAAAGAACTCATTGGGCTGAAGTGGTCAATGCTGGAGATGTGAACTTGGAGCGACCAACGTAGCATGAGATTCTGCAAGCGTGAAAGTTTTTGAGTTGTAATATATGGATTGCAAGCATCGATACTGCACAAAAACATAGGTCAGATTTGATCATAAAATCGACAAAAAAGACACTTTAGTAACGTTAATTGCAATCATTTAATGCTGTGATAGCAGTTAATGCAGGTCTTACAAACAGGAGCTTTGAGAGGCAAGAGACCTTCAAAGATCAAAATTCGTTCAAGTGTACAGGATAATGGGTCCTCCCTACTGCAGTATAATGGCTCAATGAGTTATCACTACTGCAGTATAATGGCCCAATGGGCATTATAATGGGTACTCCCTGCTGTAGTATAATGGCCCAATGGGGCATTATAATGGGTCATCCTACTGCAGTATAATGTCCCAATGGGTCCTCCCTACTGCAGTATAATGGCCCAATGGGTCCTCCCTACTGCAGTATAATGTCGAGGTAGAGGCTGTCCCACTTCATGACCCGCGGGCCCCTCACCACCACCGTGATGGTCTGGTTGATGGCCAGGAAGAGACCATGTGACCCACCGCAGTGGTAGCTGTGCTGCACGTAGTGGTACTTCCCTTTGTTGTTGCGGTCCGTGTCGCAGACCACAGCCCCACAGATGAGGCACAACAGTGGGTGTGGTACAGGCTCATCACAACGCTCGCACGGACGATGATAATTAAACTTAAAGAGAAACTCGTATATTTTAGGCAGCTTGAGCAGCGCAGGAGGCGAGAAGAGCTGCCGTCTGAGCAGCACTGACGAAGCTTCGCAGTGCTGCACAGCAAACGATATCAGGGCGGGGCACCAGGCGTCCAAACCTTCCTTCAGGAGGGCATGGCTCGCTCGTAACGAAGAGCTTGAGCCACACATGCGACCTGAAAAACATTACTTCTATTATCATCTAACATTAACTAAAACATTTAGTTCCCTAATCCTAACGAGATATAAAAACTCGAGTTCTGAGTGTGAATAAATTACAAGTTAGAGACTTACCATAGGACACAGGCGCTTGAGTCGCGCTCACTGCACCACAGCAATTTTGACTCACTGCACCACAGGAATTCGACTCGCTTTTGACTCACTGCACCACAGGAATTTGACCCGCTTTTGACTCACTGCACCGCAAGAATTTGACTCACTGCACCACAAGAATTTGACTCACATTTAACTCACTGCACCACAGGAATTTGACTCACATTTGACTCACTGCACCACAATACCTAGACTCACTTATGACCACAGAATTGACCACCGAGTACAGCTGGTGGAGGCCAAGGTATTCTTCGAGCTTCTGGCATTCCTCCTGATGTGTGCGGATGACGGGCAGGGGATAACTGTTGTAAAGTTGCTGGCGCAGCAAACTGGCAATACGCAGATACTCCAGACACAGTCCGACGATGTGCTGTTCCACCTTAAACATGTACGCTTCATAACACATGTTCACAACTTTAAATTATACGTCATAATTAACAGACATAGCCACACAGTAAGCTGCTTCACTTGCCAGATGTTAACCATATTGCTTGATAAAGTTGCCAATCAGTTTTTAATTGTAGTGAGAAAGAACATTATTAGCTACAAATTTTTTTCAATTGTGTCAATTTGGCAAAATTTAAATATAATTGAAAAACTGAATCTGCTNTTAGCCTGGGTCTCGGTAAGCAGGCTCTCATTAAGCAGCTCTGTGGGGTGCCTGTAGAAGACGTACCTCTCATTAGCCTGGGTCTCGGTAAGCAGGCTCTCATTAAGCAGCTCTGTAGGATGCCTGTAGAAAACGTACCTCTCATTAGCCTGGGTCTCGGTAAGCAGGCTCTCATTAAGCAGCTCCGAGGGGTGCCTGTAGAAGACGTACCTCTCATTAGCCTGGGTCTCGGTAAGCAGGCTCTCATTAAGCAGCTCTGTGGGGTGCCTGTAGAAGACGTAGGCGTCGAGGTCGCGCAGGCGCTCGTACACCTGACGCAGCAGCGGCGTCAGGGGCCGACCCTGCGCCGCACTGTCCTCCACCACACCTTCACGCACCTCCTGAACACACAACATAGCCGTTAATTGGGCACATTAATAACAGATAAATAACATTATTAACAGAGAAAAAACTATAAATACTTTCACGGTTTTGTTATTAACAGACAAATATTTCACCGTCCGCTATTTGCTTAATTTTCATTTGAATTTTCTAATAAAAAATATTAAAAATATGGCGTACAATACTGCATCTTCATCAAAATGCTTATCAAAAAATGCATCGTGTTTCTCAACCTTTTAAGCTCTTAAAAGGTTGTTAGGCGCACAACTGGGGAAGAGTGGGATGACATGAGAGGAGTGATATGACATGTGGGGAGTGGGATGACATGTGGGGGAGTTGGGGGAAGTTGGAATGTTAATTGCCACTTTTTTGCAGGAGGCAACAAAGGAGGTGGAGCTTGGGCCCTACACCCCTGTACCTCACAGCCTGGGCCCCCACACTCCTGTGCTCCACAACCCAGCTCATCACAGCCTGGGTCTCCACACCCCGGTGCCTCACAGCCCAGAGCCCCATAGCTTGGGCACACACCCACGTAGCCCGAGCTTGGGCCCCACCCCTCTAGAGACTCAGAGCTTTGGCCCACAACCTTGGCCCTCACAAGCCGGTACCTCACAGCCCGAAACCCCACATCCCAGAGCTCCACAGCATAGGTTCCCACACCCCGCATCCCCACCTTAGAGTTGAGGTCCCGCAGAGCAGAAATGGTGGCTTGTATGATTTTCTTAATAAACCCTATTCCCTATATTTGTTACAACATTCTATTTTCTACATGTTACAGTAATCTATTTATTTTATTTGTTACTAAATACTATTTCTTCTATTTGTTAGAAGGAATAGGATCTTTTAATTGTTACTAACGACGTAATCATGGGTGATAAAAACAAAATCACAAGTTTTATATATTATAATTGTTCAGGAAGAGGTCACTCGTGCATCTTATAATTGTAAATTTGTGGAGATTTATTAATATACCTACCTATGTATTGTATTTAACATATTTTATAATGCATATCAATCTATACATGATTAATATATATGTATAGCTAAATTTATTATAAAAGATAGGTACCTATATAGTATTAACTATATAATCAGAAGCGTCTATCAAGAAGTTTTCTCATTAGCCTGGGTCTCGGTAAGTAGGCTCTCATTAAGCAGCTCTGTAGGATGCCTGTAGAAGACGTACCTCTCATTAGCCTGGGTCTCGGTAAGCAGGATCTCATTAAGCAGCTCTGTAGGATGCCTGTAGAAGACGTACCTCTCATTAGCCTGGGTCTCGGTAAGCAGGTTGGCACTGTATGCAGCATGATATGACACTGCATGCTACACACCAATGTGCAGAGCATGAGGCAGCATGAGCCAGAACTGCAGCAGCACGGCTATAGGGTCTGACGTCAGCACCGGCAGCACAGGCTGACGCTGGTATCTCCATGCCGTCTCCTCCAGCTCCTCCAGCTCCTCTGGAGCCAGGTACTCCTGGTGCCGACTGTACCGCTGGCTCGGTCTGCGATAACAAGTAGTTAAATTTAGCGAATAAATAATGCAAAATATAGCGTATAAATAATGGAAAATAACAAACTAATGGAAAATATAGCAAATAAATAATAGCAAATAACTAATGCCAAATTATCCATTTATACATTTATACATAAATAATATCAAATGACTAAAATCCCACATACATTTTTCTTGGCAGCTGTACCTCATTGCTTATAAAAGGGTATTTTTAAACTTCATTATTTTTACTTAGTTTGCATTAAATTTCACCTCAATTTCTGCGTTTTCTAGCAAATTCCTACCTGTTTTTCATTAAAAATCTAAAGTTTTTATAAAAAAACTAACGTTTTCCCAAAAATAAAACATTTTCACCAAACATTTACCATTTCCATGATATTTCTTTCAACGGAACTCAGCGACCGAGAGCGACTAAATAACAGAGAATATAGCAAATAACTAATACCAAATAAAACACAAGTGGAATATACTACTATATTGCACTGACCTGTAGCGCTTGTTGGGTTTAGGTGCCGTGCGAATAAATAATCGAGAATATTACAAATAAATAATAGAAAATAAAGCAAATAAGTAATACAAAACAAGTTAAATATACTATTAAATAGCACTATTTAGGTGCCGTGCGAATAAATAATAGAAAATTAAGCAAATAACTAATACGAAACAAGTGAAATACACGACTATATAGCACTGACCTGTATCGCTTGTTAGGTTTAGGTGCGGTGTCGCTGAGCATGACAGTCTTGTCGTAGGTGGGGAGCTGGGCGATGTGTGGGTGTAGACACACCTGTCCCCACCTGTCACTCACCCAGTCCCTCATACTGCTGGGGGTGAGCACTTGTTGACTCATCGCCTGGCTGCTGTGTGACAGCATGTCGAACATTGACACTGCACACACAAGTTAATCAAAATATAATACAAGTCATTATTCTGATATAAGTCATTATTCTAATACAAGTCATTATTCTAATATAAATTATTATTCTAATACAAGCTATTATAATTATTTAACTACCCAAACAAATTATTCACAATCTGAATAGAGAAGTATTAAAATTAGACTCCTGATGCACGTTTGACAACCCGACAGGTAATAAGCTAAGGTGTCATTTTTGTCACCTATGAGGAGATTTGAAATACCCATTTCGGATCCATAATATATATAACGATACGGTAGGTTTTGTACATACGCTACGTTGTCGTTACTTGAGAAAAATGACATGGATTTGGTTGAAACAACGTTGCTCAAGAGTTGATTTCGTTAAAGCAACATTAATTACGAGTTGATTTCGTTAAAACAACATCAATTACGACTTAATTTCGTTAAAACAACATCAATTTCGAGTTAATTTCGTTGAAACATAGTTAAATTAACGTCAATTCCCCGTCCGACCCCATGCAGGAATGCTGTTACCTATTAGAAGGTTGGAGGGGTCCCAGCCAGGCCGGGACTCATGCCCCTGCTTGGCCACCAGTCCCCCCATGGCGGAGAGCTGACACTCGAGCTGGGTGCGCAGGCAGCTGTTAAGGTAGCCTAACTTGCAAGTGTTGCACGAGTCGTCCAGTATGTGGCGAATGCGGCTCAGTGGCAGACCTGTCAACCTCTCATACAACGTCTGCAAGTTGTCCTTCGTCAGCCCGCTGAACTCCTGCACATGTAAAATGAAATATATTCATGTTGCACTTAGTCAAGGTGAATCCAGTTATAAAACAGTAAAAAATATTGTCATACAACGTCTGCAAGTTGTCCTTCGTCAGCCCGCTGAACTCCTGCACATGTGAACTGCATAATATATTCATGTCTTGCACTTACGCAAGGTGAATCCAGTGATAAAACAGTAAAAAATATTGAAGTTGTCATCCCGCTGAACTCCTGCACATTTAAACTCCACATTATATTCATGTCTTCCACTTGGTCAAGGTAAATCCAGTTATAGAACAGTAAAAAATATTGCAGTTCTGGTGCAGTACAGCAAATGTGCAGGTTCTAGAATACAGGGAATTTTGGCTTAATTATACTACGGGTAATATTTATTCCTGCTGGCAACCTAACAAATTTTCAATGCCAGTCAACGAAAATGTAACTTTAATCCAAGAACAATGCACAATTTTTTCCCCACAGTACGAGTAATTCTGCAACGGATGCAGGTTGAATTCATTTTAGAATATCTGCCCAGCAAACACCTCTATTTAGAATGAAATAAATTACAGTAACACGTTGAGAGCGGAACGGCCCACCAGGGTTGCCAGATGGCCTAAAAGCGGACAAAAAAGTCCACTGACAAAAAAGGCCTATAGGTAAAGATTTACTAGTGAATTTGTAGGTAAAAATCCAGTAGGTAAAACTTACCAGTAAAATCGTATTTGTAAAATCTGATTTTCCTTTTATTGAACCTAAGGAAGTATCGCCCTCATAAATTTCTACCGGCCAACGCAATAGAAAAAACTAAATCGAGGTATTTGTCCGGAAAAAGGTTCTGCAACGCACTTAACGTGTTAAGTTAAGAAATACAGTAAAAATACCTACCCAGTAATAATAATACAGTAATAATAATTATATATTACTGTATATATAATTACAGTAATAATATACAGTAATATACCTACCCGAACTTCGTGCGTTCTGAGAAGTTCGTACACGAGAACGGAGACCTCGAGGCCTCCTCCATGAAGTGTAGCTTGGAGGGCATCATCAAAAGTCATGCACATATCCGAGTTTGTTATCCGAGGCAACAAAGTTCCACTGCTATCCACTTGTGAGGGTTGATCCGCTAGATTGGTTTTGACTGAGCCTTCACCTTTTTCCTGACTTCTGCAATCCAGTGAACAATCATCACTGGCTGACATATGATGTCTCTGATTGTCGATGTCTCTACGTTGGTCTCCATCTAGAGAAGGTAATCTCGCTTCGTTATCTTGAGCTACAAATTGGACTTGCCTCCATACTAAATTCTGCTCAGTGCGATCGCTGGTATTTTGTTGCAAGGTTCTACGGCTTCCGTCATGTCCGTGTTCTCGACTGAGATTTACTGCTGCAGAGACTTGCTGTTGGTTGTAACTGGTGGCAAAGGAGTTGTCGGTAACAGTAGATGGAGGTTGTACCGAAGTCTCGGTTTTAGTTTCTTCGTATAGCGGCGGTGGTTGAACAGAATTTCGGGGCGCGCGAGGTTTTTGTGGCACATTGCCTGTATGAATCCAGTGACATATGGTCGGGGTCAGAGGGATGGTAGCGTTGGTGTAGCCGCGGCACATTCCGCACAGGTAGTCGCCGCTGTAATGTTACAATTATTGGATTAGTGAGCACAACTATTGGATGTACATTTTGAATTTTTTTTTGAACGATGTTGAGCTACACAATTTAACTTAACGACCGTTGAGTTGGTCACACAATTTGAAGTAAATATGTGCGATACCGAAAAACATACGAGGATAATGAAACAAAGTACACTCACTATCTTGGGTCGAGGACGACGTCGTCTGGTACCATGAGGTTTGGGTGGGAACCGAGGTTGCGATGGTAGTTCTCCTGGCAGTCAAGGTGCACGAAGTGACCACAAGTTACCGCTGTTGTGCTGAAGTCGAAACCTCTGTTCTCCCACAACTGCCAACTCTGTCAGATATGATAGCTCTTATCAACCCTGCCTAAAAATATGGCTATGTAATTTCTCCTGTGCTCTTCAGGCACAGATTACAATGGAAATTTCACTTTTATACAACACGTTTCAAGTTCAACTGAACCCGCCAACCATTCATCACTATCATAAGATACCCCGTGGTTTATCAGTTCATTTTCATTATCTAGTAAAACAACGCAAATTTCTAAATAAAAACTAGTCATGTTCCCAGTATTTATTCCAGCAAAGTGTCCCAGTATTTCCCTCTATACTTTCCCCTCTACTCATATTTATATGATCTTAACATCTTAACACAAACAATAAAACAAGCAGCAAATATACTCTTCAAATATACTCTTCAAGCTCTCTCTTAGTTTCTATATCTATTCAAACAACACTAACCACATGGTAGTTGGTAAGACTAACCACATGGTAGTTGGTAAGGCTAAGCACATGGTAGTTGGTAAGACTAACCACATGGTAGTTCGTAAGAATAACCACATGGTGGTTCGTAAGAATAACCACATGGTAGTTCGTAAGAATAACCACATGGTAGTTGGTAAGACTAACCACATGGTAGTTCGTAAGAATAACCACATGGTAGTTGGTAAGACTAACCACATGGTAGTTGGCAGCTAGGGCAGCCTGGTATCTCTCCTTGGCACAGCCCAGTAAGGTGTTCCTGTTCTCAGGCTTGAGGGCCTCCAGACTCTTCTCTGTCAGAGGGAAGCTCTGGCCCTCACACACGCGCAGACGCCGGTGCGCCTCAGAGCTGCTCGGCTGCAACAAAACAATAATATTTATCATTTGTTACATTTATCTTTATCACTTATGTCAACTTTATTTTATGCAACAAAACAATAATATTTATCATTTGTTACATTTATCTTTATCACTTATGTCAACTTTATTTTATGCAAAAAAACAATAATATTTATCTTTGTAATATTTACCTTTATCAATATGTCAACTATACATTATTTTATCCGTTTTTAGCAATCACTATCATTTATGACGGAACATCGGCTGCAATAAAACAATAATAATTATCGTTTGTAACAATTATCTTTATCAATTATGTTAACTTTATTTTATTTTAACCGTTTCTATCAATCATCATTTATGTTATCATTTGTAACAATTATATTTATCACTTATGCCAACTTTATTTTATTTGATCCGTTTTTTATCAATCATTATCATATATGACAGGGACAATGTTTCATCAAAGTATCTTCAAAGCACGGTGTTTATTAATACAATTACGATCAAACACAGCGAACAGATCTCCCACAATTACTAGACAACCGTCGCGATCTCAGCTAATTTCTATACCATGGAGAAGGTCACAAACAAGTTAAAAGCAGTGGGAAAAAATCCCACATTTCTTGATACATAATTTCCGAGTTCAATTCAAGTTCGGCATCCAAAAAGGGGAAAAATATAACTCAGTACTCACTGTGCAGTGAGTGACAGAGCGAGCATTTTCTCGTCGACGAAAACGTGAAGTTACGGACAGACAGACAGACGGACAGACAGACAGACGGACGGACGGACAGACAGACGGACATAAGGAGCAGAATAGCGCTCTTTTTCCATAAATGCGAAAATTCGCTAAAAATGCACTTCCCGTTCAATAGAGAACGTTAAATATAGAAACTAATAATACGAGAGAAACACTCACAAGTATAAAGACGACAAGACCGAGCGGATCTTCCCTATCAGTGGAGCAATGGGCGCACTTCATGCGGTCACTCCACTCAGACGTCGTAACTCCAGCGGCCTCGTCGCCCTCAGGGACCTGCGTATTCTGGGTCTCACTCTTCCCTGAGCCTTCAGATGGAACAGTCTCCACGTCAGTGCTTATGGAGCCAAGAATGTCCTTGTGTTCCTCAGAGAATTTGGTCTGTTTCTTCTTGAAGGATTCCAAGACTTTTTGTTTACGTAGGGCAGCTTGACGTGACCGTTCCTCCCGAGCTCTGCGTCTGAAGTCTTCGGCAGCGTCTGTATCTTCAGAACCTGCGGCGCCTGCGTCAGGTAAACCGGGGCCTTGCGAGAGACTGCGCACCACCTGCCAAAAGTTCGAAAGGAAAAAAGATTTATAAAAGTAATTGTATAAGTAAAATTTTTTGTACCACCTACGGAAAAAATTTAGAAAAAAAAACTATTCATAAAACCAATTGTAAGAAAAAAGTATTTTTAGAGTTGATTTGTCTTGTTTTGCTTTATAGTGGACAAGATTTTTCGGTATGATTTTTCCAGTATGTGGATAAATTTACAATATTAGCTGAAGCAGATGCTTTCAGGTGGTTTAGATGACATAAAATGGTCATATAAAAAGACACCAAAGACAGGAATGAGATTATACAAACTTTAATTCGCATGCATTTAAACTGCAGTTCATTTTTACTTTGCAACAGTTTGATAAAAATTCATCCTACCAAATCATATTTATTTAATCGTTTTATACCACATGTCATCTTCGGGATCATGTTTTTTTCGTTCCATCATACCCACCTGCAGGATATGGGCACGGGTGGCAGAGTCGTGGTGCCCCAGCTTGTTGAGCAGCAGGCTGGTGAAGTACCCCCCGTCCCCGACACGGGACGCGGGGATCTCATCGAAGTTGGGACGGTAGGGCGCCCCGGACGTCAGCTTCGAGTAAAGCTTCACTAGCAGCGACACCATCGACTCGTTGATCATCTTAATACACAACAAAATAAAAATAACTCAGTACTCACTGCAGTGAGTGACAGAGCGCGCCTTTTCTCGAAATTGACGAAAACGTGAAGTCACAGACGGACATGACGAGTAAAATAGGGCATTCTTTCCATAAATGAGAAAATGCGCTAATAAGTTGCAAATTTACGCAATCTTTATTTAAATATACGCAATCCATATGTCACAAAAATATACAGAATTTTCAAGCTCTCTCTTAGTTTCTATATATATTCAAATAACATAATGAAAATCTACACAAAATAATCTGCACCCTTCAATAAAATCGGAAAATTCTGGTTTTCAATTTTTTCAATACGAATTACAATGACGTATTTTTTGCACAAAACGAAGTAATAAAAACCGGTCTATAATGATAATTAATAATAAGTTCAACAGTTCTTCAAGCTCTCTCTTAGTTTCTATATCTATTCAAATAACATAATGCAAATCTACACAAAATAATCTGCACCGTTCTATAATATCGGAAAATCGTAGTTTTCAATTTTTTCAATACGAATTACAATGACGTATTTTTTGCACAAAACGAAGTAATAAGAACAGGTCTATCATGATAATTAATAATAAGTTCAACAGTTTTTCACATAAGAAGTGTACCGGAAGACACGGTACCTTAGTGGTGCCGGTATGACGACGTCTGCGGCCCGCCGGTACCATGATACCGGACCCCCCGGTAGCGGGAGCTGTACCGGGACGCGCTACCTCGGTCCCGGCCAACAGGGGCGGGTAGTAGGGAGGTGCCGGCAGAGGCACGGCTGTAACACCAATATATTACTATTATTATATATATTATTATTAATACTATTGTTATTATATATATTATTGTGATATATCATTATTATTATACATATTATTATTATACATTACTATTATTCTCATATATTACTATTATTACTATTGTTATTATTATATATATTATTGTGATATATCATTATCATTATACATATTATTATTATATATTGATATTATTGTTATATATTAATATTCTTGTGATATTTTTTATTATTGTATATTGATATTATTGTGATACTATCATACCATCGTATAATTTCATATCATCGTCACTGTCAGTTTTGGCAATGATTTCTAGCAATTTTATAATTATTACAATAACAACTCCGACCTAAAATCTTGATAGATTTCTTCTTATCTTAATTAAAGCGGAATTGTCAACACTTATCCTATGCATAAGCCATAAAAAATGAAAGGCTCTTGAATACTTCAATACTATACTTGATTATACTAAACATTTTATTTTTCTCAGAGAATCAAACATTTTAAAGAACGCATTTCAAAATTCACGAACCAGCGTATCATGAATTTAAATTCATAGACTGCGACCTGACCACAGATTTGTGATATGCTCACAACGAACGGTAGAAATTAATAATAAATAAAGTCTTATATTATATTAGCGTATAACCGCAAACAAATCCCATTGTTCCCCATCTAAAATGACGGGGGAAGCTCACGATCGCTGGGGGAGAGGAAGATGAAGTCGTCGTGGGGATGAGTGGCAGGGGAGAGGGTGGAGGAGGGCACCACGTAGGTGCTATCCCCCACGGGGACCATCTCTCTATCTCCCCCAGGGGGTGTCTGCAACATTAATTATTACATATAATCATATAATCTATAATAGGGCGTCTGCAACATTAATTATTCTATCTATAATATTCTAGCAACAACGCATTATCTTTTTTATATATTACAATCAATTATTTTAAGTGTATTCTTCAATGCAATATTCGCCCATATATACAAACGTCAGCATGTACTTAATAACCTTCATCAATTATATACGATTGAGGTGTAAATTGTATGAACGTTTGTATATATCATTATTATGACTCGATAATTATTTAAATGTGATACAGGTATACGTTTTGATTGAAGTATAATTCGTGAGACACAACGCGTTTAGAAGTAACATTGAAATGCGTACATATCAACATGGGCATGTAATGTACTAAGTAAGCATCGATTATGTACTGTACATTTCATAAATGTTTTGGATTAGAGTTCTATAATTCAATTATTGATAGAAATATAAATTATTTGTCGGTTAAAAATGCGTTCAAAAGTAACATTTAAATGCGTACATGTCATATATAAAATAGGCATCATCTTTCAAGTACCGTACATTTCTTCAATGTTTTGGATTAGAGTTCTGTGATTCAATTATTAATAGAAATATGATTATTTGTAGGCTAAATAAAAATTTTTAACACACACAAAAAAATTTTTGTGTAAAAATACCTGGGGTTGCGTGGGGTCCGCTGATGACGTGAGAGCCAGCTGGGGCGGGGGAGCGGGGAGCGGCACCCCCAGGGGGTGTGACCCCCCACCCTCTATGGGGGTGAGGGGGGTGAGGGGGGTGTCTGGGACGGAGGGGTCTCTGTGGTAGGCTACTAATTCAGACCCCATAACGGGGAGGGAGAGGGGGG